ATTAGAAGTAATTTAACAGACCTTTACGGAAGAACAACTCAAAATAAAAATTAAAATAAAAAACTTTTGTACTGCACAAAACGAAATTTTATGTAACATTTGATGGGCATATATTGTCATATTAAACTTCATCGAATTTCGGCGTTATAAACAAATAATTTTATGTCAATAAAGATTCCACAGTAACACAATTCTACATAGGTTTAAACTTGATATTTAATTGAGGAATAATTATAGGTCTAGTATATGTATATAATTTTATATTAGATTTTTTTTTATTTTGCATGTGTTACATAATATTGACACCACAAAATGAACCTTTGGTATAACCTAATGAAGGAGTTGTGTAATGATCTGTAAACACACATCATTTAGTAAACTCTGTATCATATAAAGATATATTCACTTAACACAATAAAAAGTTGAAATAATATGATACGCTGACAACAGACTAGGCCCTTTTGACACGATGTAAAGATAAAATGGCATAACGGAATAATGATTTGCCAAGGCGTAACGGCAAATTCACATCACGTAATAGATTTCCCCCATCATGTAGCATATTGCTGACATAATGTAATAAGAATTGACCATATCTGAACATTTTTTTCACATCATGTAATGAAATTCTGACATCATATTATAAAGACTTGATATTTATGTCAAGATAAATCCACATTATATAATGAACTACTTACACCAAATAGTAAAGAGTTCACATAATGTAATGATAAGATGATACAATATACATATATGTAGGTATATTCAAAGCAATCATGAATTTTCGACATTTGATAAAGAGTCGACATAATGAAATAGGTAAGTTGACATAAAGTGAATGAATTTTTACATAAAGTTAAGAATTTTTGACTTGATCATCAAGTTGATGTAGCACTGAATCTCCATCACGTGAACACATCATTACATCACGTAATGAACATTTAACCTCACGTAATAAAGAGTTGAAATAGGATAAAGATATCTTCACATCACATAAATGACTTTTATTCTAAAGCCATAACGAGTTAACACAATGTAATGTAAGACTGACACAATGCAATGAAAGTGTTCTGTCACCCGCGTGGCGCAGTGGTTAGAGCGTCTGCTCTAGAGTCGCGAAGTAAGGAGTTGATCCTTACGTTGCGGGTTCGAATCCCACTGTGGGACGTGGAGACCGGTCCTTCGAATGAGACCGTATAAACCGAGGTCCCGTGTCGCAGTAGGTGCTGGCACGAAAAAGATCCCTCACTGCTCAATGGCCGTAAGTGCCGAGAATAGGACAAAATTTGTAGCTCTCCACCGGCAAGTGCCGGCGTCTCCATACGAGTGAAAAATTCTCGAGAGGGACGTTAAACAACATACAAGCAAAAAAATGAAAGTGTTCTGCTATAAGGCAGTGAAGGCGTTCCATACCTTTTTGTATTGCAGATCTTGATATGGAATATTTCTAAAGCAAGTTCCGCATAACACCGACAATCTTTTCATGTTTTAGCGCCACTAGAAGTATTGTCCGAACGGAACTCCATAAGATTCCAACACTTTTCCTCAACAAATCATAATCTTATACGTAATGAGATTTCCAACATTTATCAAAATTCTGTAATTTTCTTCTGCTTTCAGGTCAAAAGTATTCAAAACAGTATCTGAACCTCTCTAAATTTACTTTGGATTAAAAAAATATTCTTCATCTGATTTCATGACTGTTCAGTACAATGGAAAGGTCTGAAATGACATAAGCATCATAGTTTTATGCTCACTGTTCCATGAATAAAAGGAGTGTTCGATTAGTCTATTCTATTGTGTCACTGTTGGATATCTAAATGGGCTAGACCCTATTGTATTACAGCAAAGTTTGATATAAATGAATGGTAAACGTTTCTTTGGGGTCCGAAGTGGGGATTTTTTAAAGTAAGATAAATAACTCGGTAGTGTTGTATATTTTAGAGAAAACATCCCCCCTCGGGGCTTCGGCCTTCGGGGGGGGGGATGTTTTCTCTAACCTATTCAAAACCATGACGTAATTTATCCATTACTTAAAGATTGTTTAGGCAATCAATACAAAGTTAAATTGGCTATGTATTATTTAGTTTATCACTGAATCTTTCCATTATATTGCAATACTCCAAACCGAGAGAAGCTTTCATATCGTGTGCTTGCAGTTCTGGATGGAAATTATAGACATGTAAGCCTTAAAAATATGCAAGATTTCTTTATTTTTCTTGTTTGTTTGTTTGTTTGTTTTTTTTTTTTTTTTTTTTTTTTTTTTTTTTTTTTTTTTTTTTTTTTTTTTTTGTCGTTTTTGTTGTTGTTATTACATGTATTTTGTTTTCTTGTAATTGTTTCTTTTATTTGTCTGCTTATTTTTGTTTGTTTGGTTGGTTTTTTTTGAGGGGGTACTTATATAACCTCTTGCGTAATATACTTCTGAGTGGCCCCCTACTCCACCCCCACTCCCACCATTACCACATTGAACTTGAACTTACTGTGGTATATTGTAATACATCTAGTATTTTGTGCCCTGTTTATATTTTTAGGAAAAGGGACAAAAATGTTAATCCTTTCACGATAATACGAACGTAATGCTACAAAACTTTCTTGTACATGCTGAGAGCTATCGTATAATAACATATAAAGGAAACTTTCTCGCTTTAATCGCTTTAAAAATCTCACTGAGACTTCTCAGTAGAAGTGTTGGCTATCTTCGGGAATTAATCGGAGTATGGAATCTTCAGTTTTCTAAAGGAGGGCAGGATCTGGAAAGAAAATTCTTAAAGAAGTAAGAATCTTATTTTTCATTTTTTTTCATATCTAGAATTTAATATTAATATTCATTGATATTAAATTCTCCTATTCCGGTCCTTCGGATGAGACCGTATTAACCGAGGTCCCTTGTCGCAGTGGGTTCTGGCACGGAAAAGATCCCTCACTGCTCAATCCGAGTATAGGTCTAAATTTGCAGCCCTCCACCGGCAAGTGGCGGTGTCTCAATTTGAGTGAAAAATTCTCGAAAGGGATGTTAAACAAACCCAAAACGAACAAACAATACGCTTTCTTTTTTATCCGATAAAAACTTAAATAGTTTGATTGCAATGATTTTTTTTCTCTGTTTCGAACTCATTTTTAACACTGCAAGGCCTTCCCCGGGTTCTGGAATGGGGTTGTGGAGGGGTATGTGCTCCCCTAAGTCAGAATCTATTTTTGTATTTATGGTACCATTTTGATGGGTTGTGATGAATTCTGGAAGTCACTTTTTCAAATATTGAGTAAACATAATCTAGTAGCTTTGTTTCAAACAGATGAATCATAAGTTTATTTTGTTTCAACAGTAATAGTTTCAATTTTCTTTAAAAAAAGAGGTTCGATTTCTTCCAACACACCCCTCCCTCCGACGTCCTCGCACTGAATATTATTATGATCTCTTAAGTATTATAATAAAAATCATATTTCTAAAATTGATGCTTACAATTAATTAAATCTGTCACTAAAAGCGGATACTTTAATTTTCTCAGTGCAGAGAGAGTGGAATACAGAGTTTTATTTTCTTTGTTGAAGCACCGATGAAGATTAAATCTCCAAGTTAAATGTTGAAAACTAAATATTGATGTCTTGGATTTGCTCGATATTTCTTCATTATTACTGGTTTAAAAGAAGATTTTAATATACACCAGTTTGGCCTTTAATGTTGGAAGTGTACATTGTACGTCTTTAACATTTTATAGGCTTAGATATACCGAATATTCAAATGCATTAAATTTTCCTTGTAATATTTGTTTTGGAGTTTCATCGCACACGCTCGACTCCTTGTTTCAAAGTGAATAGAAAGTGCATATTAAAATATGATAAGATGGGCAAATTACTGGAAGCTCTTAGAAATCTATGATTATGAAAATAAATTTCCTTAAAATATATTTTTTTTAATTATTGTGGTTCTACTAAGTATGAAAAAAAAATTAACAAGGTATGAATTTTCATCTCTAATTAGTTCTGGCTTTTAGGTGGATTACGAATAGTCATCCTACGTAAATGATAATTCATTTGCAGTTGTTTGCTGTTATTAATTGAACTTCCTAAATTTTGCACATTTATGAAAAATCTATGTATCTTTTCCATTGTCGCTTAAAGGGTGCTACGCCTCTATAATGTATAAAAGGGGTCTTTTTTAAACATTGCTGTAGTCTTCCAGATTCTATGGTCTAGAGAACAAGCTCTAATTTAATTGAAAATAAAATTGTTGATACAGAGAATTAGTTTTTACGCGAATTTGTAACATAAAATAACATGATAATAACAAAATGAAAATAAAAAAAACTGTGCGGATAAAAATCATTTTAACCTTTCACAAAAGAAGAAAACTGAAGATAACAACAGTGATCAAGCTCAAAAAAATCTTCAAACAATACAAATCTGTCAACAGGGCATAAAATACGCCACCGCGAATATTCCAGAAGTGGGATAAGGTGTCTAGTAGGAGTAAGCATCCCCTGTCACACTCCCTCAGTATTGATCAGGTAGACGGAATATTCCATAGTCAAATTTAGTATAAAAACAAAGGCCTAACAAGTGGTATCAAATACGTCAGCTAAAATACGGCCCAATAATAGGTTATATTTGCTAACAAGGTCATTTTAAGGGCCATAGAATTTACAAAATGTTTAAACGAGGTTGTTGAATTCCATATAACATTAAATTATCTGTCAGTAGCCTGCCTCGATTTAAATAAAAATTGATTGTGCTGAGAGCATGCTTTTGAGTATCGAGTAAGTTGGGTGACTTAAACTCCATATGCGGGTGTTAGCGGAATATTACTATATGTACATGAATAAGGAAAGTTGACGATAGAAAAGTTGAAGTCATTCTAAGTAAAGTAATGAAGTACAATTAGCTAACCTAGATTTGTAATTCTATACTTTTTTGTTTCTGTTTTGTTTATTTACTTGTTTTTTTTTTAGGTGTGTGTGTGTGTTTTATTATTATAAGTTTGTTTGTTTTTTGATCAGAAAATGAAAGTGGAAAGCTTGTGTTGTTGTACTGGAGATGCAGATACTTACAAACAAGAAATAAAGGGGCTCCTGAAGATGGCGTGGCCAATGGTGAGTAAACTTTTTTTACAGTAAGATAATGTTGGATCTCAGACCTATCTGTATACCAGGAAAAGATCACTTGAAGATAACTATATATCATCAGTCCAAGATAGATGAAAGATATGGAACAGAAATTCGTATTTCACAGTAAAAAAAAATAAAGCACGGACAGTTCAATAAACTTTTTTTCCTGTTTTTGTGAACAAATTAAATGCATATTTAGGAAAGATTAATAAAGACAAAAATGATATAATGGGTTTTTTTTGCAATTTTTTTTTTTAAATTTTCATGATTGATACTTTGTAGTACTTAGTTGCTCACTATTTTGAATGAAAAAGAGCTTTAATGCGACTTTGTCTGCTTTGAAGTTTTTTAAGGCAGGATTTGAAATTGAATACCCTTCCCGTTGAAGTGTCTTCCTCATATCGTTTTAGTCGTTGGCAAGTTTTGTGTACGGGCGGGTCTTCTTATTTGTGCCTTTTGAGCTATAACATGGTGCTAAATGATATTTTTAGAAATACTTAACAAGCGTACAGTAGACTACTATTTTCCAGTTTTTGCTCTTGAGCATTTAAGAGAATTTCTCAACCACAATAGTTTCGAAACTTCTGTGGCTGGGGAGTACTCAAGATATAACGCAATGTTAATTAATTGAAGTCAAAGAGATAGAGAAGACCTATGGTCCAAATATGTCAAGGATTAAAAAGATATATGTACGGTTTTCCAGCGGGAATGTGCATAATTCTTAAACCTCTCCGTGAAACTAAATTTATAGCAAAAATAATAAGTTCAACAGGGGAAGCAACTTAAAGTCTTAGAGGTCCGTGTTTGCTCTGCTCCTATTTTGTAATATTTAATGGACTTTTGAGCTCGAATACTGTTCGTTATCTCCACATATAATTACATATCGATCCTTATTATAAAATCGATAATAAAATAATGTTTGTTATTTCTTAATTATATAGTATATCCACTTGAAAGAGGGTGAGGCCCCTCACATGTACAATTCGAATTCCCTTACCTGTGGCAAGTTTGGATTAAATTGGAAAAGTGGTTCTAGATCAAATCAATACAATTTGAAGTGTATACGTATTTAAGATGACATGATTTAAAAGCTAATATATGTATTTTTTAATGTCTGCAAGGCTTCAATAGTCAACTCAGTGGGTAGCCACCATGTTCTGAATTTGTCCGTTAGTATGGATACATTAGATAATATTGGAGGTTATATATTATATAAAATTATCTAGAAAAAATTCATGAAAAGAACAAAGATGGTTTAATTTTCAAATTGAATATGTTGGTATTGTTTCAGGGTTGTACGATTCATGTTTTCTTGGGATAAGAAATACAAAATGTTCAAGGTTATACATTGGAACAAATCAAATAAATGCAACTAAGAACAATAAGGCTATATTTTGTTGAAATACTGAGTAATTCAGACAGGAATTATTTTTGAGATCATGGCGCATTGGTCAGCTCAGAGCCTTCATTTGAGTATAAGATACGTTAGGTGATGTTCAAGTTCTCTTAAAAAGTTAAATTTATAAGGTCATTGATAATATGCCAATTAGCTCAATTGACAACACGGTATAGGTATTGGTATTAGTTTCGTAGTGACAGGTAAGCATTGTGGCTCATGGGCCTCTCATGGCTCTATGGTTTAGAGGATGAACGTGAACTTACGAGAATGGGTATATATCCGTGGTAGCTTTTGTCTGGGAATGCAGGTAAAATCTACAGTGTCTCTATGACTCATTTGATCTATAGTTTGTGGTATTTTATTTGTCGGATTTAAAAAGATAACCTTTTGAAATAGCGCCCTTTTCTGTTTACATATAATTCTAGTTCAAGGTGATTACATAGTATAGACAATTTTTTTGAGCTCTGAAATTTATCTTCATGTAGTATACATACACACTTTTAAGAAAAAGAAGCTAAAAGAATTGCGAAACAAAAAACAAGATGATGACCCCGTATGGCAGCTTATGGCGAAGGTTAAAGTTTCTCAAATGCAAGTCAAACTCCAGGTCAAGAGATCAAAAATGTTGGTACCCAAAGAAAGGTCTTGTCTTGAGGAATATACCTGTGAAATTAGAAAGCCCTAGCACCAACTGTTCAAAAGTTATGGCGAAGGTTAAAGTTTTTTAAAAGTAAGTAAAGCGACAAAGTCAAGGACAAATGGGGCCCCAAGGGAACGTCTTGTCACAAGTGATACACATGTTCGTGAAATGTGAAAGCCCTAGAACCAAACGTTCACATGTTTAAGATTTTTAAAAGTAGGTCAAACTCCAAGGTTAATGCCAAAATTGTTGGTATCCAAAGGAAAGTCTTGTCACAAGGAATGCACATGTGAAGTATGAAAGCCCTAGCACCAAATGTTTAAAAGTTATGGCCAAGGTTAAAGTTTTTCAAAAGTAGGCCAACCTCCTAGGTCAGGGTCAAAGGGTCAACATTGTTGGTATTTAAAGGAAGGTCTTGTCACAAGGAATAGACATCTTAAATATGAAATCCCTAGCACCAACTGTTCAAAAGTTATGGCCAAGGTCAAAGTTTTTCAAAAATAGGTCAAACTCCAAGGTCAAGGTCAAAGGGTCAAAGTTGTTGGTATCTAAAGGAAGGTCTTGTTACAAGGAATACACATGTGAAGTTTGAAAGCCCAAGCACCAACTGCTCAAAAGTTATAGCCTAGGTAAAAGTCTCGTAAAATTTTGTAAAAGTGGGTCAAACTCCAAGGTCAAAAGTCAAGGTACCCAAAGAGAGTTCTAGTCACGAGAAATCACATGTGATATATGAAAGTCATAGGTCCAACCAATCAAAAGTTATGGGCAAGGTTAAGGTTTTTGCGGACAGACAGACGGACGGACAGGGCAAAAACTATATACCCCCGAATCTTCGGTACGGGGGCATAAAACAGGGTCAACGAAAATAGGTCACTGATTTTGGAATGCTGAAGTGATTCATCTAAATTCTGCCGTCAATCAATTCATACATCATGAGATTCACCCTTGACATTTTATATTCATTGCCTTGTTAAAAAAACTTAACTGCTTTGGTAATGAATTAAACATTCTCTAGTCAAAAATCATATAAACAAACTTTTTACTAATATGTTTACCATGTGATAAAAGTATACGTATGTATATAAATATATGTGTTAACATTGTGGGAAAAAAATCCCCATTTGGATAAATTAAATATCTAATCATGTGGGTTCATCATTCTTATACTAGTATACATCCATAAGAATAAATTATGTGCTTCCCATGTGGATATATTATGTTCTAACCATTTCGAGTAAAGTATAAGATTAATCATGTGTAAATTATGTTATCCATGCAGACACATTATGTGCTATCCATAAGGTATTCTCAGTATGCTTAAAATTATGATAAATTATGAAATAATGATGAATTATACATTAACTTTCTGAATTATTCCATAATATATTTAAAACATGTGTATTCCTTGTAACATATATATAATAAGTTAAATATTTGGATAGATTTGTCATTATGCTTTCCGTTTGAATAGATCAGATAATGACCATTTCAATAAATCGTATGTTGAGACTGTGAATAAGTCTTAAAATTACCATGTCCAGTTATCTGTTTACCATATGTGGAAACATTTTGTTTTGTCCAGACAGGTTGAGTATATGTTTATGTTTATCATGTGAGAAAAATCATATGTTGACCATGTGGAATAATTAAATGTTGACGATGTGGATAAGTTGTATGTTTACCATGTGGAAAAAATATGTGTTATACACGTGGATAGATCATATGTTTACCACATGTTGACTAAGTATGATAAATTATATATTGACTATATGCATAAATCACATGTTTGCCTAGCTTGTAGATAAATTATATATTTACTATGTGCATAAATTGCATGATTACCATGTGGATAAATCGTATATTGACTATATGCATAAATTACATACATGTATTTACAATGTGGATAAATTAAGTTCATCATGTGTATTAGAATCAAGCAAAGACCACCATTTATACGTATATATCTTGTGACACACACAATAAACATTAACGTGTAGATCTAGTTTATTAATTCTAGATTTATGTTTACCAGATATAGTACAATATGATTAATTTCTATAGGCTCTGACACAGTTCCTGATGTTTCTGCCAATGTTTGTTAGTCAGAGTTTTTGTGGACATTTGGGAAAGGAATCAATGGACGGTGTTGCATTGGCATCTACAGTAAGTATAGTATTGACACACACACACACACACATACACACACACACACACACACAGAGAGAGAGAGAGAGAGAGACTGACTAAAGTAAAGAAAATAAGATTTATTAAGTTTCCAATATACATTTTTAGATATTTTGTTAACATAAGAATATTTTTATCGAAATCAATTTTGGTTTTGTAGATTAACATAATATTATAAGGAACGATCAGACTTAGTTTTTTTTTTTTTTTTTTTTTTTTTTTTTTTGGATTTGGATGTGTACCTGTTTAGTTTGATGGTGAAGTAAAACCAATCGTGGAGAGTTAGACAAACTTTTTTGAAAGTTATATTCTTAAGCGCCACTTTGTTACAAAGTAAAATAGTTCGCTTAGGTTATTTCTTACATCAACCAAACAACATGTGTAGCATATATCATATTTGATTCATATCTCTTTAAAAAGAATATCATTTGGTAAAAAAAACAAAAACAAACTATAAATACATGTAAGTGACTCTTATAAATCACCTAATACGTTTTTCATGAGCTGAGTTTAACAGAAGAAGTTAAGGAGGAAATTATTGATCCTAAACTTTTCAAAATTTCATACCAAATACTATTAAAACTTTGATTTAGAGGGATTTTCATAGATATTCATCTTAACTTTAGTTAGTATGTTTTCCCGATTAAATGGGAGAAAATTTCCAAACAAATTTTCTAGCACCAATACAAAGAATATGCCACCATTTCATTTTTCAAAATACCTACTACAATACAATGTTTTTGCAAGTTATTTCATTTCACCAAAGTTTGGAATCGAATTCAAATTTGAACTGAACTTTTTATCATTTTTATGGCAGATTATCAACGTAACAGGAATGTGTGTAATAACGGGCTTATCTTCAGCGGCAGATGCTCTATTTTCACAGGTAATCTATATACAGTCTCTAAAGGAAAAAGGTCTTTATATCCTTATATTTTAAATGAAGCATAATTTTCAAATACATTTACTTTATTTCGATTTTTTTTTTTTTTTTTTTTTATTATTGTTAATTTTTTTTAAACATAATCTTAGCTTGAAGTCTAACAATGTAGGAATGAAATGATGTTTCTAAATGATTAACGTTCAATGTTTTGAAGCAAAGAGGCTTTAAAAACCCGCACTTTTAACTCGTGGGAGGTTTTAAATCACTGTTCTTTAATGTGTTGAATTATCCGATTTAACAACAAATATTACAATGCTCTCTCCTCTTTATTATCTGTAGGCTATTACTAGTATTTAGTTACCCTGTAAACAGTATTAAATCACCAAATGACAGTAAAGCTATTTTCCCTTAATGCTTTGGACTTTTGGTGTGTATAATTCTGTTTCATGACTGCCTGGTGCCCAGTGCTTCACAGATTTGACATTTAATTTCTAAAAGGTTTCAGAAGAATGAAAGTATCTGAGTATCTAAATAAGAAAATACTAAAAAGAATACATGTATGAGAAAAAATTTTCATTAAAAAAAGTAATGGAAATGTAACATTCCCAAACCTTTTTTTCTACAAATATTAGATTTATCGTATATCGCATCGAGTTCAATTGCATGAAATATTTTTTCCTTTCTTATTTAGTTTCTTACCATTGCCTCACAAATTTGAAGAAATAGATTACATGGAGATACTTATTTCCCCAACTAGAACATACATATCCTCCTAATTTTGAATCCGTTGAAATAAGCATACGAGTACAGTATCATAGCAATTTTGGAGATAAGTGTCATCGTGTCAAATCTCAACATTATTTTATTACTAAAACGGAATTTAGAGATACAATTTAGCGATAAAATTTTGCAATGGCACTTCCTTTGAAACATAATAAAGCGATGATCAATTTGACTACTCAAATAAAAAAAATACATGCAGATTCTCTCTAGGACTACTGATTTCATTTAAAGAAAAAAAGGTCTAAAGGTCACAAAACACACTTGAGCCACATTTCATTTCTTCTGTGAATAAAAATTCTTTGTGTTTGTTATATATTTATTCAGCGTTCATGTTTCACATATGATTTTCCATATAGTATTTTATTTTAAGTTTATTTTAAGTTTGAAATTCTTTAAGTTGCAAAAATATATTCCTTTGTAAACCTTTGACTTTGTATAGGGCTCTAACCTAGCTCAGGGGATCATGAATGTTTTTGAAAATGAACAAAATTATATTCTTGTGTTTTAACTTGATTCATTGCTAGAAATTGGGTTTAATTTATTAGAAATTGGTGTTTGGTCCGTCCGTCCATCGGTTTGTCTCTCTGTTTGTGAATCTATCTGTCTGTTCGCAAAAAGTACAACATTGCCCATAACTTTTTAATGGTATAAGATAGGGCTTAGGTATTTCACAAGTGTATTTCTTGTAACGTATGACCACTTGTCTTTGAGCAAGGAGTTTGACCTTCTTTGTATAATTTTGCCAATCTCTATCCTGGGCAATATCTTTAGAACAATTAGTGCTACAGCTTTTACTATAGATCACCAAATTTTTGTGAGACTTTATTTTCGCAAGATAGGTACATTGACACTTACAAGCGGAAACAAGATGTGTTTGTGAAACACTGATGCCCCCGTATGGCAGCTTATGGCGAAGGTTAAAGTTTCTTCAAATGCAAGTCAAAATCCAGGCCAAAAGATAAAAAATGTTGATACCCAAAGAAAGGTCTTGTCTCGAGGAATACACCTGTGAAATTTGAAAGACCTAGATACAACTGTTCAAAAGTTATGGCGAAGGTTAAAGTTTTTTAAATAAAAGTCAAACGTCAAGGTCAAGGTCAAAGTGGTTGGTATCCAAAGGAAAATCTTGTCACAAGGATTACATATGTGAAGTATGAAAGCCCTAGCACCAACCATTCAAAAGTTATGGTCAAGGTTAAAGTTTTTCAAAAGTAGGTCAAACTCCTAGGTCAAGGTCAAAGGGTCAAAGTGGTTGGTATCCAGAGGAAGGTCTTGTCACAAGGAATACACATGTGAAGTATGAAACCCTAAGCACCAACTGTTCAAATGTTATGGCCAAGGTTAAAGTTTTTTTTAAAAGTAGGTCAAACTCCAAGGTCAAGGTCAAAAGGTCAAAGTTGTTGGTATCCAAAGGAAGGCCTTTTCACAAAAAATACACATGTGAAGTTTGAAACCCCAAGCACCAACTGTTCAGAAGTTATGGCCAAGGTTAAAGTTTCATAAAATTTTGCAAAAGTGGGTCAAACTCCAAGGTCAAGGTCAAAAGGTCAAATATGATGGTACCCAAAGAAAGGTCTTGTCACTAGGAATACACATGTGAAATATGAAAGTCATAGCTCCAACCAATCAAAAGTTATGGGCAAGGTTAAAGTTGACAACAGACAGACAAACAGACAAACAGACAAACAGATAAACAGACAAACAGACAGACAGGACAAAAACAATATACCCCCGGGATCTTTCGATCCGGGGGGCATAAAAATTTTCACGAATTCTGATTATTGCTGTATGTAAGCTATGCTAATAAAAATATACGCGAGAACGAAATTTTTGCAAGCAGATGGTCTCGCGTAATTACGCGAAAATTAAGTTCTTGCGAATAATAAGTGATTTACAGTATATTTAAAAAGTGTATATTATATGACCAGACCTTTCTTTTGGTACCAAAATTATTGACTTTTTGATCTTGACCTTGGAGTTCGATCTACTTTTGATAAACTCAAACCTTGGCCATAACTTTTGAAAGGTTTCGATCTAGGGCTTTCATATAAAAGTATTACATGTGACAGGACCTCTACTTTGGTACCAATATTTTTGCCTCATGTTCTGTCCTTGGAGATGACCAAATTTTGAAAAATTCAACCTTCGCGATATTTTCTGAATGGTTGGTGCTAGGGCTTTCATATTTCGTATGTGTATTCCTTGTTAGAAAACCCGTCTTTGGATTCCAACACTTTTTAATTCTTGACCTTGGAGTTTGAACTACATTTTCAAAACTCTAAACTTGGCCTTGAGCTGCCATAAGGGGGCATCAGTGTTTCACAAACACTGCTCCCATACATAATTATGTAAAATTTAGAGTATCTGTTTTGCAGAGTTGTTACGAGATGATGAATTCGAAAATATACATCTACTACAGGATACATGCATTTTAATATAATCTTATATATAATATAAGATTCTATTTTTGAAAAAAAAAAATTTTTTTTAAAGATTCACCTTTCATCACATAGAAAACTTCATCCTTTGTTGTGGTCCAACTTTGCCCCGTTTGTCTATGTTTTAAAGAAAAATGCGTCTATATCATATCAATGTACCTTTGACTGAATATTGTCTCTTTTGGAGTAAGTAAAAAAGGAAGGTAATTATTGGTCCTATGCTGATTTTACAGCTGTTCATCTTCTCCCCCTTGGAAAGGGATATGGTTCTTTTGAACAATCTTTAACTAGAATATCCTTCATCCCTGGGCAATTAGTGTTTGAAATTTACTAAGAGGTTTGGGAGTCGAGGAAGAGAATGATGCAGTTTTTTGTGTAGATATAGAACAAGAATATTCAAAGGAGCACTTGGTTGTACCATTAGGGGGTGTAAATAAAACTGTCATTAATATTTTTGTGCCTTTCTTTGTGCATTATTCAATATTCTGGTTAGCCGTGGGTCTTACGCTACCAGAATCAAAAAAAATATTAGTAAACTGGCATACTAAACAGAAATAATTTAATAATTGCTGTTAAATACTACTTTCAGACCTATGGAAGCGGAAACAAAGAAGAAGTTGGTGTTATTTTACAGAGAGGTCATTTTTATACAAACAAAAATAGTTTTTTGAGTAAAATCAGAACTTTAAAAAAGATAATTGTGAATAGAAGAATCATGGATTACGTGTCAGCTTTTTTCTCTCAGGTATATGGATTCTGATGCTGTCTTGCTTGCCTTGCTGGGCTTTGTTCTTGAACACTGGTCTGATTCTTCAATCATTTGGAATGGATAGCGTTGTATCCAGGTACTTATATAGCTTGTTTCCTCTGTTAAAATGTGTTTCAGAAAATAAACATTAATATGATTATGTGAGCTTGCGATTCACAGAAAGGACATTACAATTTCATTGTAAGGAATCTTTATTGTACATGTAACAAGATATGGAGTCCTAGATCTTTTTCAGGTTTTGTTGAATCCATATATTGCCCTTTTCTCGTTTTCTTTAAAAATTACTGTATTTATTATCATCTTTTTGTACTATCTACGTTATTCTAAATCAGAATCGAAACTTTAATGTAAATTCAGCACGAATTGGGGGAAGAATGAAACTCTAACATATTCTTTTCCTTTTTTGACGTCATTCTCACTAATTCCTTTTGAAATCATCTCTTTTTTTATTTTCTCTTTTGATTTTATTTTACCTATTCTCTTTTCAAAGGATCATTCAGTTACCAGATTTACAAAAATATTGCATTGAGGATACTCCTCTTCTAATTTCCTCGTCCCTCTCTCTCTCTCTCTCTCTCTCACCTCCCCCCCCCCAACACACACACACACATTCTTTACATGTATTTTTGAGGTAAATTCGTCTTTTGTCTGATTTTCTATCTCTTTTAATTTAATTGATATAAGCACTTCAGGTATGATTTATCCATTAATTTTCAATGTTTTAAAGTATTGCAGGACAGTATGCGACGTTATTCATCGCTGGGTTACCGGTAAGAGACTTTGTCAAGTAGGCTTTGATAATGATTAAAAATTGGATTTTTATTACATAAATCTTTCAAACTGGTATTAAATTGAACAATAATTTTTAATGTTTTAGGGGTATGGATTGAACATATTACTGTCTAAATTTTTGCAAGTACAGGTAAGAAACAAGCATCGAAAGGTCTAATAGAGTACTCAGTGTTTGTTTTCTAATCTTAAATGTTCTTTATCTTTATGTTAAAATGAACTAAAGAATGTGTACACATATTTTTCCAGTCTATTGTTTTACCTAGTCTGTTGATTGGAATTATTATAAACGTGGTTAATGCAGGATTCCACGCCTTGTTTATCAACGCGATAGGATTGGAGACCAGGTATGTTGTAGTCAAAATTAAAAATGATCTGCTAAAGATTTTGTATGACATATCGATTCCAAATAATTATTTCATTTAAGGTAGGTCACTCGTCAAACCAAGTTCATTTTCTATTCATAATATCAGAGTTACAAATTCAAAAGTCTCTCTCCAAGGTAAATTAAGTTTTGAGAGGAAGGAAACAGACAAAATTTGTTTAATTCTTCGTTTTAGAGGAGCGGCTCTTGCAACGACTTTAACTCACTGGTGTTCGGCTTTATTTCACATCCTGTTTATCATATGCAGGGGATACTACAAAACGACTTGGAAAGGTACTTATCTGTTGCGCGCAATACTTATAATATGAGTATTATAAGTACGTCAAAGCTACTCTATGTGTTTGCATTGTATGTGGATTAAAAATATTTTTAAAATAATGTATGCCTACATCATTCGTAAATATTTCAGATTTTGAATTTGTGCAAGATTAACAGCAAAACGGTGCCAATGTAGAAATCCAGCTAAAATACGTATGATGATTTAATTTAAACGGGATGACATTTCTATCTTACCATGTTTGAAAAACATCCCAAAAACTAATGGCGCAACAACTGTTATAAGGGTCTTGTATTCTTTCAGGTAGCATAACAAAATACTAGTGGTCTTTAGCAGGCATGTAGCATTAGGAGAGGGGGACAGGAGGGTATTCAGTATGAAAATGTTCTCTCCCCCCTCCCCCCACTTTTTGTTGTAACAGGGTCATTTCCTGTAATGATTAAGTATCGAAAAAATTTCTCGTGAGAAAAAATTTAGAACCTACCACCCCCTCCTCACCCCCCCCCCCCCCCCCCTACACACACACAATGGAAGTTTCGACTTTGGACCAGTCCAGTCTTTCTGACATTGTAGCCGTCGAAAATGTATTTGCGTTGCAATATCAACTATGTGCACTTTTCCTTCGATTTTCATTAAAAAGATCCCTTTCAGTTAACGGAGTGACCTCGACATATTTGAGTCAGTTTGTCTCGAAATTCAATGATATTAGCATAAACACACTGCCACCAAACAGCCACCAAACACAAGTACGATTTACAACCAACTTCAACTACATTTGTGATTCTGATTCCAACAGGTCGCAAACCAGTACGAAACCAACATTTGGATATTATATTCTTACCATTTACCAATCAGTTGTAAAACTGAAGAACCGTTAAAATATCCTTGAATCTCTTAAGAGAGAGAGAGAGAGAGAGAGAGAGAGAGAAAGAGCAGTAAAGATGTTAGTGTGGTGAATCTTTATGATGGTCTCTGTGGTTTACAATAAACAATTACATATGTATCCCAGGTTGGAGTAAAGAGAGCTTATATGGTTGGGGCGCCTTTGTAAAGCTGGCTATTCCAGGATTATTCATGATGTGCTTGGAATTCTGGGGTCTTGAAATCATTATTCTCCTGAGTGGTATGTGTAATGATTTTCCTTTATAATTACTTTGAATTCAGTTTAGCTAGCAGGATGTATTCAAAACTTCGATACATCTGGAAAAAAAACTTTGTCCAAAAATAGTTTAAATCTTTTTATCAAAGATATATTTATCCCGTTCATTTTCAAGATTTTCTCTCCATTTTCCTCCGACAAAGATTTCTTGTCTTTCCTGTATCTGAAAATTTGATAAGTTGCAGTCAACTTTAAATCTTTTATTCTCCTAATTGGTACTGTATATTAATTTTGAAAAGTTTTAAAAGAAAAATAAGAGTCGTAAATTTTGACAATTCTACGGTTTTACAGTACATTGATGTATACATATTTGTTTTTTTCAGGCGTTTTGGGTAAAGTTGATTTAGCAGCAAATACAATAATTTATAATGTCGGGGGGCTGCTATATATGGTATGTTACAAAATACTCATCCTACAATGACATTTGTTTGCTAAGCTAACTTTTTAAGAAAGAATAATGAATATTTAGCACTTTGTATTTATAAAAGTTTTTTTTTTTATTTTGCACAGTGTTTATGCAGATCACTGTAAGTAACGTTATATTAATCAGTCAACTTTACTTAGATTGTGTTCGGAATGTCCGTTGCGGGAGGTATCCGTGTAGGACTCTACCTAGGGGCAGGGGATTCTAAAATGGCACAAGTAGCATCAAGGATAGCTTTATGTTGGGGATGTAAGTATTTCATATTTTAACTTGAATAATTAAAAATGTATTTTTTTTTTTTCACATAAAATTGGAGAACTTTTAAAATCAAGGACAACAGTAGCCTTTGTTAATAATTTATTAGATTAAAGAACACAGTATAAACCTTTAAGATTAAAGAACACAGTATAAACCTTTAAAATGAAAGAACTCAAACTTTCAAAATCTTTCAAAACGAAATTTTTGTTTTGATTTCACGCTCAATTTTCTCTAATTTTCATCAGTTTTCTTTTATAGTGTGTTTTGCTATCTTCATCGCTGTTTTGCTTGCCTGTCTTAAAGATTACATACCTCGTATCTTTACAAATGATAAGTAAGTATACCTTTTTTCTACCGAATGTATACCTGTCTAACGTTAAAGATCATATTTCAAATATCAGAGTTAGAAAGTACCAAAAAGATGTACGGTATATGAATGTTTCAAACATTAGGTACCAGTTATTAAATTTTTTTTGTGAATATTGTCTTAATTATTATTACTGCATAAATATATTTATTCTTTAGATATCATATCATGATTGTAAAATAGAATGACCGATTAAAATACTTGCTGTAGGGATGTTTTAGCCCTGGCTTCACCTCTGATGCTCCAGCTTGCATTATTCAAAGTTTCAGACACCTTACAGGTACTTCTTGTACTTTGATTTGAACATATTTTATTGTAAAAGATATATACAATGAGATTGGGCACAAGTTCCTAAGTTATTCGACTTCTCACTATACCTTTTGTGCCAGATAGGTTAAATCTATGCATAAAATGCAGACATTAATTTATTCTATTTTGGGGTGTGGGTTGGTGGGGATGTCGTATTCTTATCAGTAGGAGGAAGCATCTCTTGCTGTCTTACAATAGGGAGGTTATATAGATTTGACATTTCGTCATGTACCACCAAGTACGATTTTTATGTAAACCGACAAAACTACATGTACATGTAAATATGCAGTAAATATTTGTAAAAGCGCAACAAAACTGATACAGCTAAATATGCAGTTAATATTTGCAAACTCCAGGGGTGGTTCTCAAATTAAAAAAAAAATCCTAGTTTGCGCTTCGAATGATTTAACAACATTTAATAAATTTGTCGATCAATCATATTTAAACAGTTAAGATTAAGTAGTATATTTCAGGATAACAATATTTGTATTTGTATTATTTCGCTTTTAAGGCAACAAGCGGTGGACTGTTGCGCGGAATAGGTCTTCAGGCTTTTGGAGCTATTTTCAATTTTGTTGGTTACTACATCATATCATTGCCCATATCATTATCATTAATGTTGGCAACGTATCTCCGAATTGCGGGTAATTAATATTTCTTCAAATATTCATTTGATTGAATAGAATTACAATTTGAATATTCTTTTAAACTTGTACTACATTTTGATCGGAGAACATCAATTAGCTAAATTATTTTTTTTTAATTTATTCACAGGTGCATACTGGGGAATGATCATTGGATCTTCTCTAGTCTGTGTGATATACTGTGTCAGAATTTTCGCACTCGACTGGGAGGAGGAGACGAGCAAGGTTTGGAATTTTTTAATACTGTGAAACAACTGTTATTCACACTATCTTAAATTCGCGAATTGTCAGTTTGTAATCAATTCACGGCTACTAATTTTAGCGACTGAGGAAATATTCTAATTAAATACACAAATGAATAAATGATCAATGGCGTTTAATATTTGTGTTTAAATAGAGGATATTCAAGGATTTGTAGTTGGATATGGAATTTATTTCACGAGAGGGGCAGGATGTTTTGATATTTTCACGAGTGAAATGAATTCCATATCCAACTACAAAACATTGAATTTTCTGTTCATTACATTGTCTTTGATTTCCCTTTGCCTCCGTCTTTTCTTAACACAGTGTCATAAGCTGTGACTTCATAGTTGGGCGGTTGAGACGCCATGAAAACATTGTTACATGGATTCTAGAACCTATTTGGGAAGAAATTGGCAGTTTCTTTCTCTTTCAAGATGGTTTAGTTATTATATCTTATGACAGGCCAGAAATAATTTTTTTACTTACTTTGATATCATCCTTTTACAATGTGACAGAATATCACTTTTATTCAATAAATATATCACAGTATTTCACTGTTGAAACTGTAATAAAAGAAGATATCATATCTCGTAGAGAATTCTTGTAAGCGAAGTCGGTTAAAGTTTACATTATAGAATGAATAAACCAGTCATAAAGTTGTAGTTTATGCTGATGAGAAATGCCTGCCTTTAACAATACTCGACCATTGTGATATGTTTCTACAACTAGTATTATTTATTTATACAATTAAGTACTCTTTGTTGTGTTATACGGTATATAACGTTTGCAATATTGTGAAACAAGATGTGTTTGTGAAACACTGATGCCCCCGTATGGCAACTTATATCGAAGGATAAACTTTTTCAAAGGCAAATCAAATATGTTGGTACCCAAAGTAAGATCTTGTCCCGAGGAATATACATGTGAAATATGAAAGTCCTAGCAGCAACCATTGAAAACATATGGAAAAGGTTAAAGTTTTTCAAAAGTAAGTCAAACATCAAGGTCAAATGGTCAAAATTAATGGTGTCCAAAGAAAGGCCTACTCACAAGAAATACACATGTGAAATATGAAAGTCCTGGCACCAAGCGTTCAAAAGTTATGACCAAGGTTAAAGTTTTTCTAAAGTAGGTCAAACCTCAAGGTCAAGGTCAAAAGGTAAAAGTTATTGGTATCCAAAGGAAGGTCATGTCACAAGGATTATATATGTGAAGTTTGAAAACCCTAGTACCAACTGCTAAGAAGTAAGGGCCAAGAATAAAGTTTTCCAAAAGTAGGTCAGACCCCAAGGTCATGGTCAATGGGCTATAATTGTTGGTATCTGAAGGAAGGTCTTGTCACAAGTAATATACATGTGAAGAATGAAAGCATTAGCATCAACTGTTCAAAAGTCATGGCCAAGGTTAAAGTTTTCCAAAGTAGGTCAAACTACAAGGTCAAGATCTTGGTATCCAAAGAAAGATCTTGCCACAAGTAAAACATAGGTGAAGTATGAAAGCCCTAACTCCAACCATTCAAAAGTTATGGCCAAGGTTAAAGTTTTTCAAAAGTAGGTCAAACTCCAAGGTCAAAGGGTCAAAGTTTTTGGTATCCAAAGGAAGATCTTGTCACAAGAATTACACATGTAAAGTATGAAAGCCCTAGCAGCAACTGTTCAAAAGTCATGGCCAAGGTTAATTTGGGTAAAATTTTGTAAAACTGGGTCAAACTCAAAGGCCAAGGTCAAAAGGTCAATTATGATGGTACCCAAAGAAAGGTCTTGTCACAAGAAATACACATGTGAAATATGAAAGCTATAGCTCCAACCAATCAAAAGTGATGAGCAATGTTAAAGTTTTTGCGGACAAACAGCTAAACAAACAAACAGACAGACGGACGGGCGGACAGGGCAAACACTATATACCCCCGAATCTTCGATACAGAGGCATAAAAATACATAACCTGAGTTAAAAAGATCTAAGTTTTGAAGAGATGCATAAATGCTATTGCTTCAGATGCTAGCAAAATATGTTTTGTAAGAAATAAAGGAAAAATGTTCAGTGGATATAAATATATAGTCTTACTCAGCTATGAAGCAATAACATGTAACATTTCTACGTACCAGTATTGAACTGTACAATCAGCATTTCAATTTAATAAAATTAAGTCACTGGTCCAAATAGACTCTCAATATCGAAGTTTCTATTCTTCAGTTATTTTGTACCAATTTTCCTTTCTCATGTTTGGCTCAATAGTTTTGGAATGGTCGAAAATTTGAAAAGTTAATAAACGGATTGCCTATATAATTTGACGAGCTAATCTTTCGAAATCTTTGGCTCGAAGAACGAATGACATAAGTAAATGAAAGTGTCCATTGTTTTGACTCGAAGAGAAAAAAAAATATTCTACTCTCTTAGACTGATAGCAGTCAATCGTGCGAAAAATAAATAAACAAACTATCTTCTGAATGAAATGTTATTCTCGGAACCATCGGAAACCTACACAGTTTGATGTACGTGTATATGAAGCACATATTGTATTTTGTTTCGGTCAATTGAGATACTTTTTTGGCTGGATTCTGATGTTATAAAAAATTAAAATGAATGAGATTGTATGTAAAAACATACATTTAATTCCAGTCTCTTTTGAACAGAACTCCAATATTTACGTATATATTTAATTTAGGCATTAAAAAGGACTGGGGTTGAAGAAGCAGACAGAGACACAGATAACATTATCAGATCATGTAAGACAATTTCAATACTGTGCGTTATTTTATTAGTCAATATATACTGAAAGTAACATAGAGATAGGAATATTTAATAAAAATATGCCCTAAATTTATCGATCAAAGAATCAGATTTCATTTTATATTTAAACCAATGTAGTCAGTGTAATATTTATTTACTTTTTAAACATTAAAGTGCTTTTGGACTTGTAAAGATTTTACATTCTTTCTCTTGTAGTAGATGTAGCAGATGAAAAGCAATCAATACGAATGGCAGATATAAATTTAAACGATGGAAGTAAGTGCTATAATTCCATGGATGGCTTTATCCAGAGTAGTGCAAAAACAAATGAAAAGGACAAGTTGCCATCAAATCACCAAAGAGTTTTATGTAAAATAATAATTTTGATATCATTTCTGTTGATTCTAGCTGGTGGTGTTTGCATAAGATTCTTTGTTCGTGTTTGATTCATGTTATTATGGATAATAAAAATGTGTTCAATTACCTTTTTTTTTTAATTTTGCTTTACATGACCGAAGTTAACATACAGATTTCTTGTACCAGTATAACAGTATGTATGTCAGGGTTCTCCATCATTTGAAATTTTACTGTGTTGCAGACTTTACGTGAACCACTAATATTCTCGGCATTTTCGCGATCAAATTCGAAATTGAACCACTATATTACAATGAAAAATAAACGAAACACCTTTATCAAGAGTGAAATCAAGGAATTAAAACATACAAATAATTACTGTTCGTTATCTCGTTTTAACCACCAAACATGTATCTCTGCTGGTGAATAGTCTGTTTCCCGAGGATACATGTCCTACGGTACTTATTCATTCATGAAATGAACTTGGACCTTGATTACTGTTCGTTATCTCCATATTTCATTTTAACCATCGAACATGTATCTCAGCTGGTGGACAGTCTATCCCAGATGATGCTTGTCGTTCAGTACTTATTCATGCATGAAATGGACTTTGAGCTTGATTATTGTTTGATATCTCCATATTTCCTGATTATTATGCCATATTCTGCAATGAAATTTATCAACATCATTGTGACATAATGTTTAAAACGTACATGTAATATTGTTTTTTTTTAGCTCTTCAACCATTTTTTTATTTAAATATTTCGGATTTCCAACGTTTCGGCATGAGCATCACTGAAGAGACATAATTTGTCGAAATGAGCATCTGGTGCATCAAAATTGGAACCGTATTAGATTTACATTTTGACCCCTGGGTCAAGGCCTCTGCTGGTGGACTGTTAGTCCTCAAGGGTCTCTATAGCCCAGTAACTACGTACTTCGGAACTAACTTGAAAATACGGATGTTCGTGTATCTAATTGCTGTAGTAAAATTTAGAAATTTATTTCAAAATTAAGAATTATCTCCCTCATGCATAGCTCTGATCCTTCGACGTATTTGGCTCAAGTCTTTGGCACCCCCTATTTTCAGCTCTCCAAAGGTTTTTTTTTTTTTTTTTTTTTTTTTTTTTTAAATATTTCGGATTTCCAACGTTTCGGCATGAGCATCACTGAAGAGACATTATTTATCGAAATGAGCATCTGGTGCATCAAAACTGTTGTCAAAGGGAGGTAATTTAGAAAAAAAAAATTAAACTAGAAAGAATTATTTTAACAACCACGCGGCCATAAGAGACAAAGCAGTAGATGATTTTCGTTATTACCCCCCCCCCCTCCTCTATATATCCCCTCTGAAAAGCGGTGGTATAATATAATGCTATGGATTTCTGTCCGTTCATCTGTACGTCCGTAACAATGGGGATACTCATCTCTTATATCACAACTCCTATATCACTAAATGAAATTTATTGAGACTCTCACAGAATCCTTTTTACAAAGTGCCATTATGAACCCCCTATTTAACGTTTTGATCGGACAGATATTTGAGGTTTCCCATTGCAAAACATGGAGACTGTCATTCTTTCTATAATGTTTGGGTATCCATCTCTTATCCGTCACTGTCCCTATACCACTGATAGAATTTAATAAAACTTTCAGAGAATCTATGTTATAAAGTGGTATTGTGACCTTTTTATTTTACGTTTCAATCGGAAGATATTTGGGGTTTTCCATAGCAAAACATAAAGACTGCCATTCTTTCTGTAATAATGGGTCTACCAATCTCTTATCCGCTACTCTTCCTACAACAGTGAAAAAAAATAGTGATACTTTTTCAGAATATTTAGTACATAGTTCCATCGTACACCTCCTATTTTATATTCTAATCGGCAGATATTTGAGGTTTCCAATGGCAAAAAATGGACTTTGCCATTTTACTCATAGGGGGGGGGGGTCATTTTCACACTACCTCTAATTTTAACTCATGGCCATTGGGGCAATTATTATTGAATTTAGAGTGAAGAAAAAATGTGGTGGTTGGCCCGGTTAAATGAATACAGTGGTAAATCGAATGGCGATTTTTTCTAGAATAATTGTACTATGTAATGCTGGTGTTTCTTTCTTCAAACATTTTCTATTGAATTTAAAGGGTAATGTCATGAGTACAATAGTAATGAATGTTAACTGTGGAAATTAAAACCAGCATAAAATGTCTTTGGTCGAGAAAGAGACTTTACAATCGTTACTGTTAGTTCTGGTACTGAGATAGAAGGAAGCCACTTTATTCAAACCATTAAAGTTAAACCTGCTTCCTTCCAGAATGGTAAGATATTTAACTCATCAATTTTTTTCAAATATCATTAATGAATTTACTGGAATTATTTTGTGAACGAATAATGAATAAAGATATTTTCATATTTCTTGAAAATTATGTTCTGCTTAACATTTAATTTTTGATACAATGCTTTCCTCCGTACAAAGTTAATCTGCATTTCAAACGATTTTCATGTATTTCGTTCAACATATTTTTCCCCCATTAATTTCATTATTTTACAATAGAAATGTTATTAATTTTGCTTTGTCCCTATCCACAGTTTATCTTCAATAATCATATTCTTAAATATAAAATTTGGTCTCTTGTTACAAATTCAAATACATGTATTATACAAAAAAGTAAAAATAACTAATAAAGAAGTGTTATAGTAACATTTACAAGCAAAGTATTTAAAATTTTAAAAATCCCATTTTATCATAACTGACCAAACTTTTGTCACTCTGCAAAAATTTGGATGCATATATTGTAATATGAATTGTCGACAAGTTTTTCAAAACAGTTCTTTTAGAGGAAGAAGAAAGTATCATTGAGTGCCCACATAATATAATTTTCAGCATCTTTTTTTAATTTGATCACATGTATATACGTGTAGTTAAGTTTGATTTCTTTGATAGAAAATGAAAATAAGATGTTTCTGTTGTTGTGATGGCGAGGCAGACACTTACAAACAAGAATTAAAGGAGTTACTTAAGATGGCGTGGCCTATTGTGAGTTGCCTTTCATTTTTATACACTTATATTAATGTGAAATTTATTTCTGCTAAATCTCCCTGTTCGAGTATGAAATCATTAAGCATAATTTATTATTATAATAACTATAATACGTATATATGTAAATTCCTGAAGATTGAAACTGAAACCGGTAGATTTTATTTCGGTATATATATATATATATATATATATATATATATATATATATATATATATATATATATATATATATATATATATATATGTAATTATAATAACTATAATTTTTACTGTTTATAGAGTTTTGCATGAAACATTCATTCTCAATTTATATTTAATTATCTAAGGATGTATGTCTGACTGTAATAAATAACGCATAATACATTTCGTTAGTTGCATATCTTGTAAAGTCTGATTTTATACATTTGTCAGTAAGAATGAGAAAAAGATTTGAGATAAAAATTACTTTAAAAAATAATGATAATAAATAGATTCATAAACCTTGCATTGCAGTACCAATTAACCAATAATCGAAGACTTATTGAAAATAAGCAAAAAGAAAAAAATGCTTTGTTTAAATTTGTAATGAATGGGAGGATTATTCCAGAATGAAACTGTGAAGCAAAACAATTTAAAGAGAAAACAGAGTACTAAATAATACTGACGAGATTGATGACCCGATACTTTTATTGCCTTAAGTGTTTACGATACCTTCTGGATAAAGTCTTTGTTATTTGTGAAACATCCGCCACATGGAATTGCTCTTATATGTTTTTCTTTTATCTTTTTTATTTGGAATTTTATTTTATATCTCATAAGACTTCTCTAAATTTCCTTTAAATGCATATTTTAGCATTCTTGATTCTGTAATTAAATGGAAAATTTTATTGTAAGATGTACAATGGAACAGATTACCCCTACTTTTTATTTAAAAGCTTTTTACCAACACAGAACCAAATTATAAATATACATATAGGCATAGTCGTACCTTTTCCTTTTTTTTTTAATACTTATAACCAAATTTTCACCAAAAGAGCCCAACTCAAAAAGTCTCAGGTTAAAAGCAAAAAATTACCAAAACTGAAATTGAGAGTTTTTTTTTATTGTATCTACATTATTTTATAGAATTTGAAATTATCATCAGTTTATGAATTGAATGCGTAGGCCCTGACACAGTTCTTGATGTTCCTACCGGTGTTTGTTAGTCAGAGTTTCTGTGGACATCTCGGAAAGGAGGCAATGGACGGTGTAGCTTTGGCATCTACAGTAAGTACAAACATACAAATGTAGAAAAGAACTAGCACTGGTTCCACTCTTATGGCTTGTAAAGTCTTTTGGGTAATCTTAATAAACTGTTACATGTAGGTCATGAAAAATAGTTTTTTTAAAATTAAAAGTAGATGTTGCTTCTGGTGCTGATACCAAAAAAAAAATTAAAAAATAAACATGTAAACTTTATACTCCTCTGTATTTTGTAGCTATAATTCTTACGCCCAGCAGTGTAAGGATTTAAAAACAGTTACTGTTTTGCTACAAAATACGTATGTTGTTTTAGTTTACGACAAGCTGCATGTAGTTTGTCGCAAATTATTTGTTGAGTGTAAACTATATGCAAGTATGTACATTGCAAGCACCTTTGATTATCAAAACATAATTTTGTTTGTGTAGGTATTTTTAATGGTGTTAAAAGCATTTTAAAAATGAAACGTCCATGATAAATTTATTAGGTTGTGATGGCACGCAAGCACTATACAATTTTTTTTTATTCAATTATGTATCATTTTAAATTCCAAAAAATAGTTAGGGAATGTAAGATGCGACTGATTTGTTACAGGTAATCAATGTTTCGGGAATGTGTGTCATGTTGGGCCTGTCTTCTGCAGTCGATACCTTATTTTCACAGGTAACTTGAATAAAGTCAGGAATAAAACCGCTGATATATATATATATATCATCCAAAAAAACGAAAGAAATATCACAGTGTCCGGTAATCAATATGAAAATAAAATAAAAAGGTAACACTTCTTATTAAAACATAAGCGCTTATGTTTTAACAAGAAGTATTGCCTTTTCATTTTATTTTCATATATATATATGACAACAATTCATATGTGCGGGATATGCAAGTTATTCTAACTTTACAATAAATATATCTCTCCCGATCAAACTTGATACCTCTCATTTTCTATCATTAAACACGTTGTTTATTAAATATCTCACACCTCTCTGGTTTCAATTTAATATTTAGCCCGTCTTCTGACTAAAATGACAACCAAATAAAGCCAGTAAGAAATTCTTTGGATTTTACCGTTTGATTTTTTGAAATTATAATTTATAACTTGTCTATAAATGTTTTGATAAGGAAAAAAGTCAGTCAAAGGAAGTCAACGTTTTTCAAAATCTATGGTCGATATAATGTTTGCGAATGCAATTTGTCGTTAGGTCAAATGTTGTCTCACTATTACATAAAAAATGTTCGGCCATTATTTTCATACTGATTTGACTATGGATTTCTCTATATACCCGATAATGAACAAGAGCATATAACGGGTGTTACCGGTTGACATAATATGCTTATTCCTCCATGGTACCTAATTCAACCTCGGATGTTTTTAGAGGTCTGTGTTTGCTCTGCTCAAAATCTATATTATTTCAATGGACTTTTCAGCATAATATCTGTTTATTGTCCTCATATTTCATTGCATATCTACAAATAATTGTTCCTATTTTTTTCAGACACTTGGAAGTGGAAACAAAGAAGGGGTTGGCATTATACTGCAGAAAGGTACAGTTTCTTAATATTCAGTTTATGAAAAAGAATTTTTCTGGAACATGTTTATAAAAGTATATGAAATGTAAAGATGACAAACAGTGATCATGATCAAAAGTCCAATTAAACAATACAAATTGAGATCAGAATAAACACAGACCTCTGATAATATCAGGGGTGGCATAGTGTGCCAAAGAGGAGTATCCCCTGTTGAACAAACGCATCTACCGCCCCTTTGTCTTGATCGTGTAAGACGGAGTAATACGTAAATAAATTCAATATAGAAATAATAGTCTGGCTTTTGTATGTCAGTCAACAGTCAACCTAAAGGCAGGTTTTTGGCAACGCAATTTGGGAAAAAAATTTTCAAAGTCGTTTAAAATTGGGACAATGTTAACGCACTTTGAAATTTATTTTCAAAGTTCTTTAAATTTTGGACAGAATCAATGCACTTTGAATTTTTTTTCAAAGTACATTAACTGATTAAGGATGTACATCCACATTTCGTACCATAGTGACACTTGAAAAAAAGTATAAAACAAAAATTCTGGACTTAGATTATAGTAACAGACAGCATTATTTTTTTTTATTTCTTTCGAAAAATGGTAACTGATCACCTTCATCGAGATCGAGGAGAAGACAGGTGGATTTTTTTTTATCTCGCCTCAAATAAATGTATTTACAAAACTGGTGTGATATTGATATAATACAAATCAAATAAAAAAAAGTATAAAATGCATAAATAAATTTTTCATACCTCTTGATACAATCAAATAACAGTTAATAAACATTTTTTTCATGCTTCGAAATACTTATTAAATAAGCATAAAAAGACCATCATATTGTGCGATAAAATTATTTTCAATGAGCATACAAACTTGGACCCCATTTTGTCGCAATTCTCCTACCTTTAAGGGTCATGTTTGAAAAAAAAAACTAGAAAATTCTACATACAGTAAAAAGTATAGGGACGTTTTTAGTACATTGAATTTTAGTTCATTTAAATTGAAAGTCCATTAATGTTCATTGTCATAAAAATCAAATAATTATTACCATTTTGCTAAACTGTCGTCAGATATCCATCTTCACCATATCTGATAATCTCTCTATAAACATTACACATACCTTTCCTTCCATTATTTATAAAATACACAATTCCCTTTTATAACATTTACGAGAACCTTTGAAACAAGACAACCCCTAAAAATCTTCTAACATCTATATCTTAGATCCTGAAGTGACGTCATCTCCGAAAAGTTATCCAACCAGGTTCAAATGATTATTTCTCATACCTTAAATTTGCAAGAATATTGATCAAGCCTTGTACATTTTTTTAAAGTGCGTTAATATGGTCAATATAGTAATATGGTCGAAGTGCGATGTAACACAAGTTGTATTTGCAAACAAGTTCATTGTGTCGACCTCAAAATTTGCAAGATTGTTCAAACCCTTGGATCATTAACTTATTTGTCAGTAACCTGCCTCGAATAAAAAAAAATGTTCGTACATAGTACATGATCCATATTTGCTTATCCTCTAGAATTCCGTATATAAATGTTATACATGTATTAATTTGGTATAAAATAGGATAATCAAGTTATTGTTACCATTTACTGTATTCCATTCTAGATAAACTTTCAAACCTAACAAGTGTAGTTAAACTATGATATCCAAGATGACACATTGTCACCATAAAAGAATTCACACATCGACATAAATAAATTGTATGTTAAGATAAATAAGTTGCATGTCGACATAAGTTTGATTTCACATGTGGTCGATATTTGATAGTTTATGAACATTTTCCTGATTCTTATTTTTCATGCATTAGTTGTATTGCATGTTGACATATTTAAGATGCATTCTGACAAACATGTTACAACCTTGTATGTCGACATAATTTATAGGATAGTAACTTGCATATAGGGAGCAGAAAAAATGCCATCATAGTATCGGTATAATAAAATAAAATATATCAATGACTGAGTTAGCTAGATTCTTATTTCGCTTTCTTAAGCATTTTTCCAAAGCATCGACTTTTAAAGCAGAATTGTTCTAGGAGTAGATGCTAGCAAACATCGTCAATGAGATATTACTAATATTCACGTGTACTAAACACTGAAGATAATTTTATACGGAACTGGTTCTCTAATACAGCAGCGATAGCTTGGATCTGACCCGGCATCATTGAACCCCCTTTGGTTTCTGAACTTCCATATGCGCATGCGTAATATATGCAATACACTACGATTCTTTTCTAGGTATATGGATCTTACTTTTATCCTGTTTGCCCTGCTGGACTCTGTTCATGAACACTGAAATTATTCTCCAATCAATTGGACAGGATATTGTTGTATCAAGGTATATAATTCAAAAATGTATATGCATAGATACTACCTTTTAGTCACAGTTTAAAAGATAATTAATGATGCTTGAATTTTTTTTAATTTTAGATAATATTCAATTTTGCCTACCCATTGTTATGGGATATATATTGTCGATGAAGCTCAGATATATTGTTTTGGTCTGAATTTCCTCACAAACTTAAAAAGAATTTCATCTTAAAGAGTGAGGTGAATATTTTAAGCAGTATTCACCTTTATTTTCTAATGAATCTCAGTAAAAAAAAAATGTATTCCCGATTTTGAGTTATTGGGTTCTAAATACTTAATTGGGCCTTGGTGACTCTACTCAAAATCTAAGATAAACTGTTCAACTTAAATTAATTCTTCGAAATGTATTCAAGAAGGACGGGATTAATAAAACTGCCAAGTTTAATTTAATTAAAACAATATTTTATTGTGAATAATCACAAAAGGATTGGACAGCAGACACTGCCTATAGAAGTCCTCTGTCGAGTTTCAATAATAAGCGTCCGTACAACTGGTACAGTGTAATATATCGATTTGAATTTTTACTGTAACTTCCAGTGTTAACATTTTGAAGACACAGGGTCGATAGCCACTTCATATTTAAGGTAGTTAAATGCTTTTCAGATTAAGAATTAAGCTTTTGATTTAAAAAAAAACAAACTTGAATTTCACGAAAGGTTAAATTTGAAATCATATTTACCTTTATTACTTATCAATGTTCAGTCTATAATGTATTTCTTTATCTTATGCAATTTATTATGAAATATTACAAATCATAATTAAGCTAATTTATATGCAACTTGTTCGTATAAATAGATGCAGGTTTTATCAAAATAAGAAATGGTTAAGGTACAGTAACTTACTGAACATATTCCAAAGTTCTTAAACATCAAAGAATAGCTACATGTGGATAACTTGCATTTTTTTTTCTTTTACGGGAAGCTTGCATGATAAGTAATATAAATAACCTTATTCAGAAAACCGATGTGCATGAATTGTGTTATTAATTTCTTTTTTGATATGCCAGAAACTTAATGCATGCATGATGTGCATCCCGCTAAACTGATTTTTGCTCTAAGGAGTAATAACTCCATTTGAATTTGTTCAAAGAAATAGAACATTATACGTTTGCTATCATTGCAGAAAAAAATTACATTATATGAATTATGATTTTTTTATGCCCCCGTAATCGAAGATTCGGGGGCATATAGTTTTTGCCCTGTCCGTCCGTCTGTCTGTTTGTTCGCAAAAACTTTAACATTGCCCATAACTTTTGATTGGTTGGGGCTATGGCTTTCATATTTCACATGTGCATTCTTTGTGACAAGACCTTTCTTTGGATACCAACAACTTTGACCTGTCGACCTTGACCTTGGAGTTTGACCTACTTTTGAAAAACTTTAACATTGACAGTAACTTTTGAACGGTTGATTCTAAGGCTTTCATATTTCACATATTCCACGTATTTCTTGTGAGAAGGCCTTTCCTTGGGCACCATTAATTTTGACCTTGACCTTGATGTTTGACTTGCTTTTGGAAAACTTTAACCTTTTCCATAACGATTCAATGTTTGCTGCAAGGGCTTTCATATTTCACAGATATATTCTTCGAGACAAGACCTTACTTTTGATACCAACATATTTGATTTGTATTTGAGAAAGTTTAACCTTCGCTATAAGTTGTCATACTGGGGCATCAGTGTTGCAACCGTAATATCCAGTGTAACTTAACACAGAAAGTTTATCTAACTAAATATCTTTTGTAGAATTGCTGGAGAGTATGCGACAATATTTATGGCTGGTTTACCGGTAAGAACTATGAATTTTCTTAAATATTGATTTCAAATCAGTTATTACATTCTTATGTTTTTACCTCTGGTTATATATTATTGTTAAATATTTAGTTTTACTACAAGTCCTTCATTAATTAATGTTTCTTTTTCAGGTTTATGGAATTAATATTCTACTGTCCAAGTACATGCAAGTTCAGGTAAGAAAGGATTTAAAATAGAATAGTGACAGTGTATGTCTCGATAACTGACATTAACTATACTGTAATATTATTTTTCAGTTGATTGTTATACCAAGTTTATTGATTGGGATTATAACAAATATCGTGAATGCAGGACTACATGCATTGTTTATCTACGTAGTCGGAATGGAAACACGGTATAAAGCATTCAGATGTTTTATCATATAATGAAATAATCTTAGATCTTAAATACTCATACTGCATTTTTTAACATGTCAAAATGTGTCACATTACACTTCCACATCGTGCTGAGCTGTGGGTTGGTGTTCACTTCTTTCCCTGAATTCTCTATTTAAAGTATGTATATATTCTTACCCAGGAAGCATGAAAAAAATTGAGATAAAAAAATTAATGAGAGATCTACTAATAACTTTGACCTTTCTCTAAATTTTGGATTGTGCAATGTAAAATAATTTAGTTCGGATGTTCATTTTCATTTAAATACTTCGTGTGTATAATGAACCCAAAACTTGCTACTTATCGGATATGTATATTTTAAGAGGGGCTGCTCTGGCTGCAACACTAACACATTGGTGCTCAGGTCTACTACACGTGTTGTTCATCAGGTGTAGGGGAACCTATAAGGCGACATGGACAGGTATTGATTTAGAGAGTATAACTATAGCTTCTTTCATTCCATTTGAGTTCGAATGATGGATTATGATTGTACACTGAATTTTACACTAAAACGGCCATTTAAGCGGATGACAAACTTTTATCAACCACCTCAATCTATGAACAAGCAATGAAAAAAGCTAATATTTCTAACAAGTCTAATTTAAATTCTGTTTTTTGTATTTTTATCCCCAAAGCGCTAATCCCATTTTTTTTGTTCTTTTCACACCCAAAACAATTTTATATACTCAAGGAAAAAATAAAAACTTGTAATTTGTAGGGGATACATGTATTTTTGAATGAATAAGAAAACAAACATGATTTTTATACAAATCTCTTGGGATCAGTAAGAGTAGGATCTCCCCTGAATTATAATTTGATATGATTTTTATCCAATGTATAATGTGGGTTTTTTTTCTATTCCTAAACATTTGGATTTTTTATTACACGTTTTTACCTCATTTTGATAGTTTTTCTCCCTTTTATTATGCTGTATAACAATATCATAACTCCATTAAAAAAGTTTATGATATAAATCCAAAAGTACTATTACAAAGTAGAACTTATATTTCAATGGTAACCTGATTTAATCATTTTGAATTCTACTTTGATCTTCCATTTAAGTTGTCGGAATAGAAAATGCATATAATTAAAATTTCAAATCCTACGAGTGATCTCCAAGGATAAAAGGGTAAATATGTGGTGAATACGAGGGTTGTTCGGAAAGTTCGTGGACTAGTGTCATAAAATTAAAACCGCTTAAGATACATCAATGAATTTTTTAACGTTTAATTAGCATCATCTTTTTTATTTATATAATAAACTGTACATCATAAGTATTATTTTTTAATCAATTGCTGATGTTTTTGAAAGCAATGATATGTCCAGGCGGCGCAACCTCGAAGATTACGTTTTTTCTACCTAAGTGTAACTGAGAAAAAACTCTTCTTTCATATGAGCATTTGTCATTCAAAAATCCTGTTAATTCACTTTTGTGGTATGACACAATTGTACCGTAAAATTTGCAATTTTTACCCCATTCTGTAAGTTCTATGAAATTTTATCATGAAATTTATATGAAATGTCCAAACAATTATGGGGTTGTAATGACGTCAGAAAGGGGTTGGGTTTCTTTTTCCAACATTCTATAAAGTTTCACCCTCTTGAAAAACTGGCATAAACCTAGGAAATATTTAAATGGGCTACTGAAAAATAAAATGCATTCAGAGTACTTGTTTTTAAACGCCGAAAAAGATTAGAGAGACGAGAGATGTAGAAGTTTTAAATGTCGATTTGTAGTAAGGGTGTTCAAAGTTTGTCACGTCGAAAAGTGACGTTGATCATGTGATAGATGTTGAACTCCGACAAGCGAATATGCTGTTATAAGCTAGTAAGGATCTTTCAGATCTATTTATAAATATTATATGCATTGAATTCAGCTGTTTATGACGTTGTAAAATCATATAAACAAAACGGGTTTAAAACTTTACTTAACTCCAAGGAAACTCATCAAGATAAGTGTATGAGGTAGAAAACGCGGACATTGAAAAACAATTACGTCATGAAACTAAATGGCGACAGCGCCGGGTGATCATGTAATGTCATTTTTATTTTATGATAATTTGGTTAATGTCCAAGGTAACAAGCTAAAATTTTCAGCATTTCTTTAACCTTTGTTGTTTTATGTTTATTAAAAAATTTGTAAGCATAGACTACATAGTATTAATTTTATCGCATCAAACCACGAACTTTTCGAACAACCCTCGTATATTAAGTACTATAATAGTAAAAACTTGCAGAAAATTCCAATTAAATTGACAGAAATTTCCAATTAAATTGACAGCATTAATATAACAAAGACTGTATATCTGCTGATTGAATTAGAATATTTATAGACATCTGTGAAATATGTCATAAATTTTTATGATTGTCTGTGCACTTACTGTTAATTTATTGGACATTTTACACATCCCAGGTTGGAGTAAAGGGAGTTTGTATGACTGGGGTGTCTTTGTAAAGCTGGCTATTCCAGGATTATTCATGATATGTATGGAATATTGGGGCCTTGAAATCATTGTTCTTTTAAGCGGTAAGTAGATTTTTTTGATAAATGTTATACAGATTATACATTTGGTATGTTTTTGATTTACTTTCAGTTGAATTCATTTGGATGTATGGATTTGCTACTGCAAAATTCATCTTTTCAAAAAAAATAATAATACTGCAATATATATTCATTATAATATATATATATTGAACACCTCGTCTCATAAAATGTCTTAATTTATAAAACAGATTTCTGTTACTGATGTTCAAAGACTATACAATAGAAAATCAAAGCTTTTGCTGGATATTTTTTCAAGGAACATCTGTTTGATTATGCCTGATATCGACTCCTGCAAGACTGCAGATTATACAATTTATGTCATTCTTTATGTTCTTATGTTTCTAATTATGCCCTAAAATATTGCAGGCTTAGTGGGAAAAGTCGATTTAGCAGCAAATGCAATACTCTATAACATCGGAGGACTGATTTATATGGTATAGTTTTGATATAACTATAATAAGATCTTTTACCAGTTAAGACTTTGTCCTATTGTCCATCACAGGAGATTTTTCTCTAATTTATTTAGAAAAAAATCAGACTTAGTGAAATATTAAATTCATATTTCTTTAAAAACATTTTTTGTCATCGATTATCGATCAATGAAAGAAACAAACAATATATTATTTAGAAATAAAATAAATGAGATATATTTTTAAATGTGCCTAGATTGTATTTGGAATGTCCATTGCGGCGGGTATCCGTGTAGGGCTGTACTTAGGTGCCGGAGATTCCAAAATGGCACACGTAGCCTCAAGGGTATCCATGTGTTGTGGGTGTAAGTATACAGATATTCTATGTTTACTGAATGTGAATAAAATTCAAAGCTCTTACTTTTGTATTTCTAAATTTCGCTTTTTTAAAGTAGAATATTGCAAATAGCCGTTTCATATGATTTTATCTTCTTTCACAGCATGTTTTGCCGTCATTATTGCTGTTTTCTTACTAATTCTGAGAGACTATATACCAAAACTCTTTTCAAGTGATTCGTGAGTATTTTTAAAACTTTATATTAAATAATTACTATATAGTATAATATGATTAAATATGATTAAATCAGAAGGTAGAATTGAAAAAGCAGGGTTAACAAATGGCTTATATGGGAATATTAATATTCACTAAAAATGAAACGTATTTAGTTGACAGCGCTTATAGCTTTTATTGGGCCCATGGTGACTTTAAACATGTTTGACGATGAATTATGGCATCATTAATTCCTCATCATTTTTCTCACTTCCTGAATTGTTTTTTCAAAAGTCCCATTATTGAACAGAGCACATCCAATCCAAAAAAAAAGTACATGTTAAAAAATCTTTTAAAGAAATTTACAATAATTATAATGTTTTAATGTTTATGTTTAATGTATTGATATCAAAGAATGTGTTCATGTTTAATTTTCTGTTGAATATAGATCTACTATATTACACTAGTTTTCTGTAAACTGTATAGAATATTATATATGGACAGAACTGTTATGGAAGATCATGACTACATGTTGATTTTTTTTTGATCGAAGAATGTCCTTATATTTTCATTCTTTGTTGAATGTATTCAGATACAAGAATTTTCTGTGTATTTCAACTTTCGAATTTCATGAAGCCATTTTTGTAACAGGTAGACATTCAACCTGAGTTTTTAATAGACAATGATACCGCTAAGTCTCTACTTTGTATTAATATTATGACATATTAAAGAAGGCCCCCAAAAAATAACAACAGAAATTAAGCCTCATCTATTTCCCAGATTTATTTCAGATTTGTATCCAGTGTATGACTTTTATTGTTTCAGAGACGTCCTTGCCTTGGCTTCAACTCTTCTGTTACAGCTAGCCTTATTTAAAGTGTTTGACACCTTACAAGTGAGAACTAGTTATTGTCATTCATCCTATATGGACAAATATATATATGGACAAACATATAGATCTTTGCATTAATAAAGTAAGTACGTAGCATTTTATGAGAATATCAGATATAATCTGAAAAATTAATCTTTCAATTACTGAAGATTAGCAGTGATCCCACCCACCCCTCACCAATCTATCCCCCCCAAAGGCACAGATGAATAATTAGTATCCCATAGTTACTTATTTTGTGGTGATATGGTAACCCATTACACTTTTATACTAGGGATGTCAACGAGTACCCGGTTAACCGGGTACTCGATCGAACGTCCGAGTATCGAATACTAAAAATGGTACTTGGTTACTCGGATGTGTAATTTTTCTTATTTCAAAGTACATATTATTATCAAAAACTTTTCAAACATTAACTTAACTAGAGCAGAGCTCGTTGCAAAGCAACGAGTAGGTCTTCCGTTGGAGCTGCGAACAGGAAGAAGTGACCTTGAGTCAAGGTCATGCCACATTCTAAGGTTATAAGCAATCTTGTAAGGGGTATCAACTTGCAATGTCTCACCAGTAGAAAGACAGTTAAGGAATGTTGTTTCTCCGTTGATGACCTTGAACTCGTTCAAATGACCTTGCATCAAACCATGACACACTCTGGTTATAAGAAAACCCCATCTATATGTTACCGACTCGACAAGTTAACACATGTTCTTTCAGACCATTCATCCAGTCAAAACATTCTTTCCTTAGTGACCCTAAATTTAATCAACATGGCCGTAGGAACCGAGGGGGGCGTGCCCCCCAGTAATTTTGCCGATATATAGATTACTATAGTAGACATAGATACTATAGCTTGTGCCACCTCAATAAAAACGTCTGATAACCTTCTTTTTTTTTTTTTTGCTTGTCAAGGAATTTTTGGTAGTTGGTGACCTTTTTTTTTTTGCTTGTTAGGAAATTTATGGTAGTAGTGCCCCCTCAACTGTCAACTGAAAATGTATGGCTGTGCCCCCCCCCCAAAAAAAAACAAAACAAACAAACTGAATTTGCTTCCTATGGGCCTGATCAAGGCAATGATACACTCTGTATGATATCAGCGATACCCTTTTGTGTGTTTCGGACTTGACAAGTTCACAGTTTGCATTTATTGCATGATAGTGAGGGAGACATGAAGATTTCTTCGCCCATAAAAAATCATATTCCGCGAGGGCAACATGAAGATTTCTTCGCCCATGAAAAATCATACTCCCCGAAGGCAACGCCCGAGGGAAATATGATTTTTCATTTGCGAAGAAATCTTTATGTCTCTATTATGCAATAAATTGTTTATAATACCGAATTAACCAAAATGCAGGAATTACAAAGGAGATCCAATGAATAAAGCAAACATGCATTTGATGAGAACGATATGAAAGAGATGTAAGTTACAGGTACACCAATAGCCTCGTTTCATTAAAAAAAATTCCTACGTGACAAGTTTGTGTGATCACACCAGTAACATTCAAACACCATTACATTTTTACACATTTAAATCGACACAATCAATCAACGATAATATGTTGACGGTGCGACCGTTGGGCGAGTGCATTGTTCACTTAATTTTAAGATCCGCCTCTTCAAACAGCACGAGACATTTGGAACGTCTAGACTGTGACGTCTCATGACGTATATTAGCTGTACTTCCATAAACGAATTTTGAAAAGTGCAAACATTTTAACAAAGAATGTTTAATCTACTATCTGTATGCAATTCCATTAATTAAGGTGATTTTTTGGGGTGAATTTTTAGTTGTTGTTACCGCGCGAACGAAGTTAGCAGCGTCGCTATAAACAATCTAACTCCTCACTCGTTTAATTGTGACGTCACAATCGTGAAACACGACGTTTTGTTGCAGGGCAAACATGATGGACACGTGACTTTCTCGGCCAATCAAATTCTATTTTACTAGTGATTTTTCACTTGTAAGCTAGTTTTCACAGAGGTATAATAAACGTTTTTTTTAGACCATACATCGAAATAAATTATCATAATTTCTATAGTCGTAATTTATTAGTTTCAACTCACTGCTTTAAAGGATCATTGTAAATGTTTTATGCCCGATTTGGATACTGAACAACGTGTGATTTTTGAAACACTGATGCCCCCATATGGCATCTTATGGCAAAAGTTAAAAGTTTCTCAAATGCAAGTCAAACTCCATGGTCAAGATCAAAAAATAAAAAAAATGTTATTACCCAAATAAAGGTCTTGAACAAAGAATATACTGTGAAATATATACTAGTATGAAAGCCACAGCAGCAACAGTTTAAAAGTTATTGCCAAGGTTAATTTCTTTAAAAGGTCAAACTCCAAGGTCAAGGGATCATAATTGTTTGTACTTGAGGGAAGGTCTTAATTGTTACAAGGAATACACATATGGTTTTAAAAAAGCCTTAGCACCAACTGTTCAAAAGTTAAAACCAAGGTTAAAGTTTTTCAAAAGTAGGACATACTCAAAGGTCAAGGTAAAATGGTCAAAATTAAAGGTATACAATGACAGGCCTTGTCACAAGAAAATTACCTATGTAATATAAAAGCCCTAGTACTAGTCATTCAAAAGTTATTGTCAAGGCTAAAGTTGTTTAAAAGTTGGTCAAACTCCAAGATCAAGGTCAAATGGTCAAACATATTTATACCCAAGGAGGAGACTTATCACAAGGGATACAGATGTGAAGTATAAAAGCCATAGCACCAACTGTTCAAAAGTTTTGGCCAAGGTTATAGTTTGGTAAAATTTTACGAAAGAGGATCAAACTCCAAGTTCAAGGTCAAGAGGTCAAATATGTTGGTACCTGAAGGAAGTCCTTGTTACTAGGAATACACATAAGAAATATGAAAGCAGTAGTTCCAACCAATCAAATTTTATGGGCATAGTTTTTTGCGGACAAAGAGGCTAACACAGTGTAACAGACAAATAGACAGGTGGACAGGACAAAAACTGTATGCACCCCGGATCTTCGATTACAGTAGCATAAAAAAAATGTCGGCGTCTTTGGGTTTTCGCATTGGCCTTAAATCTGAAAATCCAAAGGATTACAAGGTGCATTACGATACGCTTTCACATCATGTTCTATAACCCAGAGCATATTGTCTGCAAAGATAAATATTTAATTCAGTATTTAATTAGCTATGCATAATTATCTATGTTGTTTTAAAAAGAAAATATAAAAAAAATATTTGTTTTATATTTTTCGATGTAGAGATATGCAGAAAATGTTTTCCTATTTTAAGTCCTATCGCAATACATATTTAAAAGAAAGTGTGTGTTGGAGGGGGGCATTACATTTTTGCTGGGATTCGCCTATGTATGACCGTAGAGAAACAAAGAGTGGGGAGGGTGCAAGCAGCAACTAAATCAAAATTTACAATTAAAACTACAGCAAAAGACTATTTTCAGAAGGTCTGCCCCCCCCCCCCTCCCCCGTACAATCCGTACAACGGACCTGTGAAAAAAATACTGATCCTACATTCAGAGTCCCAGGGCACCAGGAAAGAGTGGCAAAAAGAGAATATCGGTTTATTTCAGTCTATAAGTCGAATCAAAATATCTTTTCCTCGAGAGTCTTCTTTCTTTGAGTTCATCCCAGTGATCGTGTGATTTATTTCATTTATTTTACGTTCTGTACTGGACTTGGAAAATGAGGACATCTTTAGGTTCCTGAGCTGGCCTTGAAGCCCGCAGAACAGATTTTCTGCTTTATGATAAATTCAAGTGATATGTAATCCGGTATTAATTTTGTGTTGCTTTTTTAAATGTTAATTTCATCAAAAAATATGAAAAATTAATGTTTTAACTATACACAGTGAGGCATTTTTTGTGTGGAACGATTATCAAATGGGGTTTTTCACGATTTTTTCATATGGTACACATGATGAGTAAGTGCAATAAATATAATTTATGGAAAAAATGTCCAACAAGCCCCGGGGTTGAATATGGGGGGGGGGGGGGGGGGTCTGTCCACAAGTACCTTTTGTCAAGCCCGTAGAAAGCAATTTCAGTTTTTTTGGAGGGAGGGGGGCAAATAGAAATTTCCACAGGTACTTGTACTCGATTTTTTCCTATGGTACACATGATGAATAAGTGAAATAAATATAATTTGTGGAAAAAAATGTCCAACAAACATCGGGGTTGAATTTGGGGGGGGGGGATCCTGTCCACAAGTACCTGTGGAAATTTCTTGATACATAAACAGAATTTAAAAGCATGTATAAGACATCAATTGAAGGGGAGAGGGCACGGCCGTAATTAAAAGTTACATAGAGACTAGGAAGGAATGAACTGTCATTAAATTTTGGTTAAGAACTATTACCTAAACTCTTCACTTTCACATTTTCAATTACAGATTCTTGTTTTTAAAAAGCTACACATGTACATTGATATGTATCTATTAGATGCATAAATTATGTTATTAATCATTTTATCTTAAAGGAAAAGTAAAAATCTCAATCAAACTTGTTCCGCATATTATGTTCTCTGATTCATTACTCAACAGATGCTTCATATACATAGACTGCAGGTGTGATAAATTCACAGCATGCAGCTCCAGCCTTAATTCCAACTTTGTTCCAAAATATTATTATTCAACGCGAAAAATTAGAATCAGCCGATAGAATATTTTGAATCACTTTGGAAATGCTGCCGTAACACCAGACTGAGTTCACAATATCGAGTGATTTTGATTGACAGGTGTAGCGCCGTTGTGCATGGATTTCGTGTAACTGCAGATTGTGGTTGAAAATAATAAACAAACAGATCTAAAGAAAAGATATTGTATACTGTACATATATTTGTTAAGAACCAGTTCATTCATGAAACGAATTTAGTCGTATTATGTGGGCCCATGTTAGATCATTTAGGGTATTCCGAATCACCCCGCATATCGCGACTCTCGGTAATTTACCTTACCGCTGTACCTCGCACGACACATGCACAGGTGTGACAACCAAACAGTCATTATTAGTAAGGTCTATACTTATTGCATACAACAAATAAAGAGGTAAACATAATGCGTTAACTAAAAGAATTAATTATTTTAATTCATTAACTTCCTACCCTTTTCGAAGAAAATGCCCGTGTAGAAACGTTGCATGGTATTTCTCATCGATGTCGTGGCGTTGTTGGTGGATGAAACATGGCATATAAGGTATCGATAGAACGGCAATTTTATTAGCTTTTGTGAGTATTATTTGTTTTTTTATAACACCTCAAAAATATACTAGTTATGGCCGCATTTGTAGCCCCCTATAGTTTCGAACCACGTGTGTACATGCCCCTAGCCAAATAAATTGCACACGCTACATGTATACTTGTTATATGTCAGATTATTATTTTTTTTATAACATTGTTTTTCTTAAATGCAAGGGGTATGAAAGTAATGATTTGACAAAGCAAGAGCTATAATAAGACTATCCCGGGTCCCGGTATACACTTGATCAGTGTTGATCAATGTTGATATGTACGAGTACACGTATGCAGTGATATACGTCATTCTTGATAATCATGAAATCTAAACATGAGTTGGTTTAATTCCTTTTCACAATTTTTTTTATCATCATTATATCATTATTTGGTAGCCTACTCGTAGAATTATGACAGTTCAATGTTAATTATTTGCATTAAAAAAATCACATAGGTAAAAAAAAAATTACATAATTATCATGATTATATTTACAGGACAACAATTTACAATCAGGTAATTTCAGAAAGTAAATATTCTGTTGGTATTTGCTTTTCTGCATGATCCGCCTCTGAGAACGCTGTTTTATAGTGTTGTCTACAGAAGGGGGGGGGGGGGGCTTTAATAACTTAATAAAAAAACCAACAACATTCAACAAGAAAATAATTCTTTTTATTTTTTGATACTTTTGGTAAACAATACCAACTAATTCATTAATTATAATGTTGTTATCTGACTGTTTTTAGCCATTCACCTGGTGATTCGAAATACCCGGAAGTGACCTGCAATACACTAAAAAGGTGATGTAAATATAACCCCTGTCAAGGCCGCTGTATCGTAGATAGACTCGCCGTGTAACGTAGATTTGATTTTTCATTGAATTGGCTTTCCTTTAATACCAACCAACCATTTATAAACTTGTTAATAAAATCGTTTACCGTCAAAATGTAAAAAGTGATTCGGAATACTCTAAATGTACTCGTTATAAAAACAACTCATTATCAACTCAGTGGACCGATAATTTACTTCAAAATAAGCTATAGATCAATAAAATTGATTTCAGATTAACCAATATTTTGTTGCAAAGATAATGTAAAACAGAGACCGGGGATTTTGTATTTCTCTGTATTTTCAACACTTGCATGCATGTATGTATGTATGTATGTATCCGTAAAACTTTTCGATTTTCCCGAGATTTCATCCTCACAATGTCAATTAAGGTTCCGAAATCACATGTGAGGATGCCGAGAATTGAAAAAGTCACCTCCACTTACAATTATCATGCATGTGTACATGCAGTTTAAAACACGAGACAGAAAAATAAATTGTTGCAAACTTAATGGTTAAGTCGGCAATTAAAATGCGTAAAACTTGAAATGAATAAATGCACGGGCGGTAAGGATTGATAAAAATAAGCGTGAGATAGAGTAAAATAAAATAATATGTAAGATTCGAAATGATTTCAAACCCAATTTTCCATTAATCGCTATGAGTACACAATGTATTTTAATACCGATATGACCCCGGCTCTCTGCGGCCACGTGTGCACGAAGACTGGGTTACAAAGCGACAGAGCAGAATGTAAACTGTGCTGTAAGAAGGCGTGAATTATTGTATGTTTAAAAGTATTATTTGATGTATATACATGTAGTTTAATATTTAATGAAAAATTAAATGAAGAAACAATTAAGAGACTGATAGTAAAAATTATACTTTACACAAGTATTAATACTTAATACTTCCATCACTAATTGCAATTATTTGCCTTAGCACCTTTTCAATTACAATTGAAATAGAATACAATTACACGGGACAGAGAAATAAATTGTTTGTTTGTTTTTTTAAATCGTATTTCTGTGTCGACAGTGAACAGGCCGGTAAAAGCGATTAAAATTCGAAATGATTTTATGCACTAGTGTTTGAAATTAAGATTAAATCAAAGATGAGATTAAGTTATCTTAAAGATTCAATATAAATTTAAAAAACACAATGTTTCATTAGTTGTTGTTTCTACACGATGGATTTAAAATGTGATCACAGTCTTCACAGATATTTGTTTTGTTTACATGGTTTATGACCGCAGGTGGCTGGTCGATGGGGACCTCGGCAACGTGGGATCGCGGGTTGTGTTACATAACTAAAAACATTTAGGTGAACATGGAGAAATGCGTACTGTTAATGATCATTAATTATTCGATGCTTAAAGTCTAATATTACTTATATAGTTATATAGATACATTTAATTCCTTCCTTTATTTGAAGACGTGTTCCCTTTAAATCTAAATTAAAAAAGAAAAGAAAGTTGTAAAGAATAATTTATGAGTGAACCACAGAACACGTTTAAAACCTTATTTAGAAGAAAATTAGCATTAAATACAGTAGGGTATATAATTTATTGCAAGTTTGTTAAAGTTATACACATGAAGAGTTCCGATTTACTTGCCGAATGAAAACGCTTACCTGTTTACGGGACCTGCTTTTACCTACATATTACGACATATTACGCAATACTCGAACAAAACAACATTTGTATGAGATCAATAAGGTGTTAAAGAACAACTTTAATTCCGAAAGCCATATCGAAATATTTACCGTTTTTGAGTTATAAAGCAAAAACTTTCAAGGGCTCTAGATCCCTAATTTTAGGGGCCAGCCCCTTTTAAATGATATCAAATGAAAGCTCTTGCTATTATGCACAACTTTTATTCTACATGTTTTAACAAAATATTTTTAGTTTTAAAGATATAAAGGAAAATATGTCAAAATTTTTGCTCTTTTCCGCGTTCTAACTTTTGACCCCTCTCTAGCGCCATTTTTAATGCAAAAATCAGAAAACAAAAACCAATGTGCACAACTTCAATGCTTCTTCTTTTCAATTTCAAAGGGTTTTGTGCTCCAATTATTACAGTCTCAGAGCCTTTGTCTGGAAACCAGAGGCATAAAAATTTCAATCAAAGGGGAATAACTCGTGAACAGAAGGTAATTTCCGAATTGTATTACAGTATTCTGAGAGTGTTTTGCAAAGTCTAAAAGCTCTGAAAATTTGAACAAAATCCGTTCAGAAATGAGGATGATATGAAGCTTCAAAGTTGGCGTATAGGAAAAAAAAAAAAGAATAATAAGAATAATCTTAACCATCAGAATCAGTAGAAGGTCTTCCGTTGGAAACGGAAGACCTTAAATATGCACACGGTAATTAGCGTGTCGTCATCAACACCTGTAATACACCCGTCATCGCCTGTGGCTGTGTTTATAAGTAATTAGTGACCAATTATCCTGGTACACATCTATTGTGGCCCTTAATTTTTGGATGGCTTAATTCAATGATTGTTTTCAGTGAACATCGTTTAATGGTCTATTATCTTCAAATCATTTTTAAATTATTTAGTTAATATACGACAGCGAAATCGGACATGCATAACCCACTTCAAAAGTGAAGAAATATTTAGAAATAACTAAAGATTTTAAAAAAAAGTTGAAAGTCAGTTTGCGTAGTAAGTTAAGTGTATACGGGGGGAAACAACCAACAAATGAAATGATATTAGACTGTCTTATCATCACGTAACAGATTGTCCTAGCTCTAATAGATCCTAAACAAGAACTGTAAACCATTTGTAATTTTTTATGTATTGTGTCTTTTGTGTTTATTTGATAAATGAATTTAGTACCAAAAAACCATTTCCGTTGGACTCGATGTTTATATACATTTATAAACGTGATAAAAACAACTTTGGGGTTTAACAGAGCTTAACGGGACTCAAGAAAATTAACACACTTGCATTTACATTTTTACCGAGTACCCGGGTACTCGATCGGAAAAACGTCCGAGTAACCGATTATCAAAAATTGACCGATTTGACATCCCTATTTTATACATAAGAAACTAACTCATAATCTTAAACTTGAATTTATATTCATAGACCTAGTTTTATCACGTTTTTTCTTTGGTAATTTCTAGGCAACTTGCGGGGGATTATTGCGTGGAATAGGTCTTCAAGCTTTCGGTGCTATTTTCAACTTTGTTGGTTATTACATTATAGCGTTACCGATATCCTTAGCATTGATGCTGGCAACGCCCTTAAAAGTTCCTGGTAATTACTCTTCAGTTTAAATTTTTCATTTTCCTTAAAATGTATCAAATATTTTTTTTTCTATAAGTCAACATTTTTCAATTATATGGATATATCAGTTTTCATTCTTTGACAGGTGCATACTGGGGGATGATCATTGGATCTTTTTTAGTCTGTTTGATATACTGTGTCAGAATTTTTACACTCGACTGGGAGATGGAGACGAGCAAGGTTTGGGTTTTGGATGGTTTAATGTATCGTACAGTCAGAGAGCATTAAATATATATATATATATATATATATATATATATATATATATATATATATATATATATATATATATATATATATTTGCGATTGCTAGTTATTCATTATTTATGCTATCTTTTTACATCAAATCTATTGAATCGTTTTACTTTCTATTTGCATCTTCTCTAAAACCAATAGTTAAGATGATTTTTTTTAAATCAAGGAAAATCTTGGATTTTGGGGGGAAAAAATCCTCACTGCAAACTATTCCTTGAAGTACGTTGACAATGATAGTGATTCTAAGAAGCTATTTCTCAGGTTCAGTAGTAACCATTACTTGCTGAAATGAACTAAATGTTCCATCCCTCTCAAAAACATTATCTTTTTAACCGTGTAAGTCCTTCCACTGGCAACCATATAATTTTAGCATATTTATATCGCTTAGGCTTTGAAGAGAGCGTGTATGGAAGAATCCGTCAGAGAAAATGACAATATTATCTGTAAGTACAAGATATTGTTGATGTATATTTACGACAATAAATAAATTATTTCATTAATTATTCCATACTTTTTGTTGAATAACTGCGAAGTGTATAATATTCAAATACTGAACCGACATTCAGATCATTCTGCAGGAACTTGTAAAAGATTTCTTATTTTTGTAGCTCATGATGAAAAGGAATCAATACGAATGACAGATGTCAATTTAAATGAAGGCAGTAAACGTTATTATTCCATGGATAGTTCTATCCTAGGCGCTGATGTGACACAAGATAAAACAGACAATTTACCATCCAATCGGCGAAGCATATTCTGTAAAATAATCATTTTGATACTATTTTTGTTGATTTTAACGGGTGGTGTTTGCATAAGAATACTTATTCATATTTGATGATAAAAATTATGCAATATTATCGATAAAAACTTGATTTTTAAAATTAGTGTTCTTATTTATATGTTACGTGACATAACGTAGCTTTCTAATTCTACAGCTATTCTATAAGATAAATGTATATGTCATCTTGGTTACAGGTGATAACAGAAAAAAATGAAAATTATATCATTTATGATAACTTTCACTGTATTTTTATGGCAGAAATGATTTTGACATCCATTGGGGTGTGGTTTATCTACAAAAATTGTTAGTCTGTACACTTTTGTATTTTTTTCAAATTAAATTGAAATAGGTTCAAATTAAGTAATTATTTGAATTCAGGTCATATCGTCTTTTGTTCAAATAAAAAGAATATAATCTTGCCATGCATGACTGTCTGATATTCAAGTCATCATATACATTTTATATATTTAATTATTTGTAATTAATTTTTCTATTATATCAGAACATCAAAATTTTAGAAAAGATTTAATCTACTTGTTTTGTATTATGAACCATGAATAAAGTATTCGAAATCTTTATAAATTAATGTTTGGGAAATGATCCAAAATCATGTGTTTTGCTTTGTGGTTTATACCTGTACTCAGTATAATTTACGCAATAATCGTCATATAATTAGATAAAACATTTTATTAAACTCACTTGATAACATTTTTTTTTTCAAGTTCGAGTTCTTTATTTCTTTGCGTCATACGACACATCAGATTACATATATTAATAACTAAACATATACACAATATTATAAAATATAACAATATGAGAGTGAGCATAATCAATAAATAGCAAGTAAACTATGTAGGACGTGTTTTCTAACAGGCAACTGTAATTATAAAACACTTAAAAAATTTACAAATGTTTCATTCTTCTAGTGGAAGCTTGATATAAATATTTTCCAAGGTTACAAAGTTCCTTTATATTTTGTACACTTAGAAGTTGAATTAATTTCCAAACACTGGATTTCTTATAATAATAATACTTTTTCAAATACTTAGATCTAAGGTCATGATAAAAAGGACATTGTAAAATAAAATGAAATTCGTCTTCGATAACATTCAAAGAGCACATTTTACATAATCTGTTTTTTTTCTAATTTCATTAACATATCTACCAGTTTCAACATTTAGATTATGTGCAGATAGTCTAATTCTGGCATTTTGTATTTTGTACATATAATTAATAGGTTTACGCAAGTAATATTGTATACCAAAATTATCAACCAAATGTTGGTATAGCGGGCTACGGGCATTGTTACAAATATTAGAAATCATAGTATGGTTATTCACCTCAAGGAATCTTTGTTTTACTAACATATAAGTATTATCATTGAAATCTGCATCAAATATATAGCCAAGTCCCAGTTTATTAAGTTCATTTTGAATATCTCTGATCCAAATATCATTATTAGTCCCCTACCGGTGAAACCGGAGGGGACTAGAGGTCTCCTCTGAGTCTGTCCGTCCGTCTGTCTGTCTGTCTGTCTGTGTGTCTGTCCCACTTGGTTTTCCGCACTTTTTTCCTAAACGTTTTCAGACATTGAGCTGATTTTTGGTATGTGAGCGTATCTTGATGAGTTACAGATCAAGTTTGCATTTCATTCCGCTTCATTGATTTTTGACGGAATTATGACCTTTTCAATTTTTAAGGGTTTTCCGCAATTTTTTTCTTAACGCTTGCAGATATTGAGCTGATTTTTGGTATGTGACTTAACCTTGATTACTTATAGATCAAATTTGCACTTCGTTCCGCTTCAATGATTTTTAACGGAATTATGGCATTTTCAATTTTTAACGGGAACCAGATTACACTTGCCGGTAGGAGACTAGTATTGCTAATGCAATACTTTCAGAATGCTTGTTATTTAATCTTTCTTCCAAGCATGATTTTAGTAGAATGTTTTGTGTCCCCTTTAGTTTCAAAAAATATTTTATAATTTTCAATTTTCTAGATTCCCTCATAGGCATTCTTCCAAGTTCGAAATACACAAGATTGTTACAGGCACTTTTTTTTAAACGAAGTAACTTTTTACAAAAGAGACATTGTATTTTTTCTACATCTGGAGCTTTATGAAATCCCCACACCTCTGCTCCATAATTAAGAATACTACAGACATACATTTCAAAAAGTGATATTTGGGTTTCGACATTAAAATCAAAGTTCCAGAATTTTTTGTTCTACGCATAAAATGCTTTTCTTCCCTGTTCAACTACGTGCTTTTGAGTTATATTAAATTTACCATTATAATTGAAACACATTCCTAAATAACTGAATCTATCTACTATTTCAAGTTCTTTTCCATTGTAAACCCATTTTTCTTCATTTCGTATTTAAACTTCTACCATTTCTGAAAACTAAAATTTTAGTTTTATCTATTAACTTCAAGACCCCATTTCTTATTATAAGTACTTAATTCATTCAATAATGTTTGAAGTGACATTGGTGAGTCTGCAATAAGTATCATATCATCTGCATACATCAATAGAAAAATGGAAATTAACTGCAGTTCAACATAAGGACAATTGTTTTCTAAAAAATGCATTTCACAATCATTAACATATAATGAAAACAACAGAGGTGATAAAACCTCCCACTGTAGTAAGCCCACATTATTTTCAAAATACTCCGACAGCATACCATTGAACTTCACACATGATTTCACACTAGCATATAATGATTTAATAATATTGAACATTTTACCTGGTTTAACTACATGTAATTTACACCACATTTTAGCTGTTCATCTAAAACAGTCTCTTGTAGACAGATAAAAACATTGACGCCGTAAATTGGTGTCTGAGGGATTGTGTGATTGTTGAAATAAAATTTAAGTTCACATCATTAAAAACTTGGTTCTTCACAACTACATCTTGTAATCAGATTGGTTTCAATATCTTAGCAACACACTGTTGTTGTTAATTCTCTTCGAGGCGCTGAAAACCCTTTTGGGCAAAAAAAAAAAGTCGTTTGATGTCAGGATTATGAGATGACCTTAGGTCTTAAACAATTTGCCATGTCTCTTGCTTTAAACTTGAACAAGTTTTGTAAAGATGGCTGTGAAGTCCAAAGTAATTATGTTTTCACAATCAACGGTGTCATTATTTTTTTAATCCTTCAATAATCGCTTGAGAAATATGTATGTGTCTGGTAGTTTGATTATCTTTGAAACTTTAACGTCTAACAAAGCAAACGTTGTAACCCATTGAAACAACAGAACAAGTTCTGACGTAATTTATGCTTCACAATTCTACTTTAAAGACTACCATGCTCTAGGTCACTAGTGCAACAAAAATTATAGAATTATTGCTGATCAAATATGAATAACAAGCAAATAATCATATTTTGAAGTCTAGAAAATATGAAAAACTTGCCATAAATGATAAAAAATTTCAAAACGACTACCTGATTTACAAACTTTGAGTTATTGTGTGTTTTAATTTCTAAAACAATGTTTAATAAATACATATCAGAAGTCAGGAGTGCAAAATAAGGTAAAATATGATCGCTTAAAAACTAGTATTTTTTGTAATTAATTATTAACAATTAATGCTAGTTAATTTTGCTTTATCGTTTTTAAGTAATTTCAAAATAATATTCATACATTCCCCATTAAAGAAATACTGTATATGATAGTGAATATCCAATCTGGAGAGCCATCATAACCTCAAAGTGAAGAATATTGAAGGACGGATTCTTAAATGTATTCTGATATTTTTTTCTATTTGAAATAAAGTACATGTAAATTATTACCAAATAATATAAAATTGCGCAGCGATTTCTGAAAAAGGAAGCTTGATTATAAATTTATTTCACCATAATTACATTTTACTTAGTTTATTTCATATGTTTTATTGTATGTGTGGTTAAATCCATAACTGCCAATCATTAAAATAAGTCAGACATCAGAGTTTTGCGTTTCGAAGTGCCGTAGTCCACCTTAAAAAGTCTTCATAAGTACGCTTTTCTTGGAACACCGAGTCTTTATTTACATAGATTCCTTTCGAGACTTCGATAGTTAGGTCGGAAGTAGTAAGGGCTAACCCTATCAGCATACAATACATGCCAGTGAAGCCCCAAGTTTCAATTTTTTCGCCATCAACTATGTCATGAAAGAAGAACAACCAATGAACTATCCCATTCAATGGAAACTCTTTTTTCACATCTTCTTTCAAAAATCTCTTTAATGGTAGACTGAAAGCCTTAGAAACCTCTGATTCGTTCAAAACTGGCTCAAAATTTGCTGGAATGATGCCAACTACTAAGCTCACGAATTTATTTGGTCGCACAAAACACGGAGGAAGTACTGTTAGTACATCCACATCCTTGGCAGGAAGACCAATTTCTTCTTCTGCTTCTCGTAAAGCGGTCTCTACAACTGATTGGTCAGTTTCATCCACATGACCTCCTGGAAAAGCGACCAATCCAGCATGTGACCGCAAATGTTTAGCACGCAATGTGAGAAGAACATCGATCTGTCCGTCTTTTATAAACAATGGTACGAGGACACTTGCTGAAACAAACCCTTCCGGTATAGTATATTCAGCGTTATAGTGGCGAACGTCAAACTTTGTCAATCGTTCACGTATTTCTTCCACTGTTGAAACCAAGTCTGAAATATTAAATCTTGATATTAATTTAGAAGTGAAATAATAATTAGATAGATCATACGATCAGTATGTACTGGTCCAAGCTGACAAAGCACAACAGCATTGTCTTTGTTTGTAAGGCTCATTATTTTAATTGTATTTAAGAGGAACTGGGATTTAATTCTGCAAGTGGAAATTCAACTTATACCCATAGTTCCCTTTTTAAGGAGGAAATTCTTCAAAATCAGATGTCAGTTTTAAATAATTTTAATATTCCACACAATCAAAATTAATTTGAATTAACATACCTATGCTGGATTTTTACACTTCATAAAAACCCCTACAAACAGAGATATATAGCGGGTTCCAGTAAATGTTCTACCAAACCTCTTTCTTTACTCCTCACTAAAATATTAATATTAGTGAAGGAGAAACTTCAGGAGTACTGTACAACAATTTATTGGAGAAGTGATGTAAATCAGATGCGGATACTTAAAAACTCAAAGGAACTTTTAGAAAATTTGAAATCACAAAATTTTACCAAAATCAATGACATCAAAACATACGACGTTTCACTTTATACAACCATTCCCTGCGATAAATTAAATTCCAGGCTTTTTGACATCATAGACAGCTGTGTATTTTTTTCTCCATAAAATGAAACTCGTCAATTTAATTACCATGTCATTGGTCATTTGCAAACTATTTGTTAAAAACATTCTGATTGTACACACAAGTACTCTCAGGTAGATATTAATTTTGATTGACAATATCTCTGTAGTTTTTGGAGATCAGGTCTTCAAACAATCTGTCGGAATTTCCATGGGTACCATTTGCGCCCCGTTATTAACAGGCCTATTTTTGTATTCATATGATGTAGAAATTATTCAAAAACTTATACATAAGAAGGAGAAGACACTTGCCGTGGCCTTCAACTCGACATATAGATATATCGACAACGTATTATCAAATAACAATATTTACTTCAATTCATATCTCGATTCGATCTATCCCAGTGAACTTAAAAGATACCACAAAGTCTAACACATCTATTAATTTTCATATTTGGATATTTTAATAGAAAAAGACATTAATGGTAACCTAACAACAAATCTTTATGATAGCGTGATGACTTCAACTTTTTATCGTCAACTCCCTTATTTATGTGACAATATACCCTTACCACCTGCATATTGGGTTTATATCTCCCAGTTGATTCGATACGCAAGAGCATGCTCCACGTACGAACAATTTCTAAAACGAGACAAGCTATTGAGAAACAAGTTGATGAACAAGGATATCAACAGTCTCGTTTAAAGTCATCATTTCGCAAGTTCTATGGTCGATACAATGACCTTCTATCATTAACTCGATGTTCTCAGATGGTAATGTTTTTTTTAATTAATCCAGACCAATCAGACTCTCCTAATTCACATGAACGCATATTAATAAAACCAATCTACATTTTCAACAGTGAAACACTGTTATTTATCCTTTGAATGAAATTGATATTTTCACAGATCTTATTTCCACTTGGTGAAAATAACAAGAGTGTTATTTTCACTATGTGGGGAAAAAAAAACAATCGGAACGACACCTGCGAACCAAATGCAAAATTCCTCATAGAAAAACATTTTTTTAATTCGTATTTTAACATTAAAATTAACAAAATAAAGTTAAAATTTATTTTAGTTAAATTAAATTGAAGTCTTTCAATTGTTCAAACCATTAATTATTGATTTCTTCACCTTTGCATCATTCTATAAACTCATATTCGCCGCGCAATATTGTTTTAAATTTCGATAAAGAGACAGGGCAAAGGGAAAATGAAAGAAAGTAAATGAGCAGAAAATCCAATGTTTTGTACTTGTATGTAGAATTCATTTCACTCATTAAACAGGACACTATAATAACAATTGATAGGGCAACAGTCATCTTTTAGATGCTATGGTATATTATTTGGGGTTACTATATGCATTTATATATAGTTTATCATCAATTATTCAACTTAATTCCTCTACATGTAATTAGTAAATGGACAAATATGCCTATATTCAATGGCGATATCTATATATAAAGAGGTATCGTCACCAATGAAAGAACATCTTGTGATACAAATGACATTCAATGACATATAGATATAAAATAATCCACAGTGCCTAAATATGCAAATTAAAATTCAAAATGGTAAACCATTGCAAAGAGTCACTATTAAAATCCAAAATGGTAAACCATTGCAAAGAGTCACCATTAAAATCCAAAATGGTAAGCCATTGCAAAGAGTCACCATTTAAATCCAAAGTGGTAAACCATTGCAAAGATTCATCATTGAAATCTAAAATAGTAAGCCATTGCAAAGAATCGCCATGAAAATCCAAAATGGTAAGCCATTGCAAAGAGTCCTCATTAAAATCCAAAATGGTAATCCATTGTTCTCTTATATTCATCTCTGAAAAATGTAAGTAGATTACTAATGTTAAACAAGTTGCGCAACTAAATTTAAGTACCTGGTTCACTTGAGTTTGGATTCATCATCATAATCAGCATGGGAATGTTGGTTAAATATACATTTTGCTCAGCCTTAATCCATCACAATTCACAGTACCATGCTTGTAATCCTGAAATGCAAATTCATAAAAGTAATGAAAATACTTACCCAATAAGTAACATTTATTTTGCTCACGGTAAGGTCAAAATAAACTTTATACATGATGTGAATTTTTTTTCACTAGATCTAGATGCTTGCATCTAAACAGTGAAATAACACCGCGGAGTTATCTAACATTGTTTGCAAAAAGGAAAATTGGCTTTGTTGTCAATCCGTTGCAGTTGTCGTGCAATAAACAAAATACAATTTATTCACTATATCCCATGCCATATTTTAGATGGTTAGATGATTCACATTTATTTTTATTTTTCATGTTTTAAGTTTCTCTTTTTCAAAATTCTTATTTTCACGAAGTAAAAATCAATATCATGTATTATTAAATCTCATACACGTAGTTCTATTATTTGCTTTGTGTGATTGGAACATGTTTATTTGCCTCTGAATGTTGATTTAGACCCAACCTGTAATCAAATTACATGTATACATGTTTTTCTTTCTTATCATATTCATCATTAAGCATGGCGTGATTTTTTCGAGAGGCGAGAAAAGTGAGGAAAATGTAGGCTAAGTAAAGACAGGATATTTTAGTAGTGGGATTCGGCAAGATAACGAATACGTTATAAGAGACTCCACTCATTTTGTTTTCGTGCTCCTTGATGTATAAATACTTGCTAACCTCTCCTCGACGGCCAAAAAAAAAACAGAGGAAATTCTAACTATGGGACGAACAAAACAAGACAAGACAGATAAACAAGAAAAACAGGACTCAAAACAAGGCAGAAAGGATGAAAAGGTAGAAGAACATGAAGAGGTTTCAAATAATGATCTTAAAGCTCTTTTTATGAAGCTTATTGGTAAACTAGAAAGCTCTGTGAATGAAAACCTGAAAACTGTGGGAGAGAAAGTTGATAAAGTGGAAGAGTCGCTATCAAAACTGAAGAAAGACTTCATAGACATAGAGAGAGCTTTGGAAGACCAAGATCTCAGGATCTCAGATCTAGAAATGTTGAAGACTGAACGAGTAGATCCTCAAGAACAGAAAATTACGGAACTGGAGACTCGTGTCAAGCAGTTACATGATTATGTGGTACAACAAGAAAACCGTTCCAGAAAGTACAACTTATTGTCTTATGGTATCCCAAAGTCTGATCAAGAAAACACTTCCGAGACTGTTCTTGAGTGCTTGAGACACAACTTGCAAATCCCAGAAGAAGATGTCAAAGCCACTGTAATTCAGAATTCACATAGAATTCCAAAAAACCCATTAAATACCTACAAGCCAGATGCACCAGATGCAATTATAGTGAAGTTTATGAGAATGGCTGACCGCAATCTTATCCTTCATCACTCAAGAACGGCAACGCTTCCAAAAGGAATGGCAATTCGTACGGATCTTGCAAACCATTTGAAGAAAAAGCATAGTGAACTAGCGCAAAGAGCATACAGGATGAGGAGCCAAGATAATCTGAAAACCCGCATTATAGAAACGAAGGATGACGTTCTTCTGCAATATCGTGCAAAGGGAGAAGAGGAGTGGAACATCTATAAGCTTTAATTTTGATGTTGTGCCTGATTTCGGTTGTTTCTCCATTCCTTTTATGGAAGTTAACATAATTATCAGTTACGGCATAAGTAGTATATTACTGTGGTATTGTTTTTTTCTTCCAGTATAATTGATGTTAACATACACTTACTAGGCGTATTGTAGCTTATTTGTGACAATTTGTTTTTTAAGTTGTTATAGACCGATAAGCAAACACAAGTGGGTCTCGGGTGGCTTAATATGTAGCCTCACATACTAGTCTGATTTTTTCCTTTCCCTTTATGGAAGTTAACATAATTATCAGAATATGAAGTATGTTACTGTTTTTCCTTCCAAAATAATCTATGTTAACCTACATATTGGTACATCTAATAGGGCTATCGAATTGTATTGAACCCTATAGGTAGCCTATTTGAGACAAATTTTTTTTCAAGTCGGTATAGACCAATAAGTAAACACCAGAGGGTCTCGGATGGCTTAATATGTAGCCTCACATACTTGTCTGATTTTTTCTCTTTTTTGTGTTTTTTTTTTTCGAGTACACTTGCAGGAAGCATATTGTGTTTTAAGTATGAATGTTGTGTATGAGGTGTGTATATGCAATATACTTAGATACTTATTATCTTACCTTAATAGCAATGTCACTTTTTAGCATAACTTCTGTAAACTGTAGGGGTTTAAACGATAGTAAAAAAAGAAAAGATGTTTTTAGCTATCTTAGAAATTTACAATCCTCAATATATTGTCTTCAAGACACCCATTGTACAGAGAATGAAAAAAGCTTAGTTTATGCCCAGTGGGGCCATGATATTATGATGAGTGCAGGAAAAACACATTCTAGAGGAACATTAACTCTTATGAATAATAATGTAGAAGTTAAAATTTCTACTGTGAAGTCTGATATTAATGGAAATTTCCTTATTACTAATATGATTTTGGATAATAGATACAATATTACTTTGGTGAATGTATATGGTCCAAACAGAGATGATCCACAGTTCTACACAGAGATTGGTAATATAGTTGAGGAATATGGTAATGAATTTATTATTATGTGTGGAGATTGGAATTTAATTCAAAATTTTCAGTTAGACTGTCATAATTATGTTAAGGAAAATAATCCTAAAAATAGGGTAGAAATACAAAACCTAAAAAATAAATTTAATCTTGTGGACCCTTGGAGAATAAAAAACCCAATAGTAAAAAAATTCACTTGGAGCCGTAGAAACCCTATTAAACAAGCAAGGCTAGACTTTTTTCTTATATCTGAAGAATTATTGTCAATTTTGGAAAATGTTAAGATCATTCCAGGGTATAGAACCGACCACTCAATAATTAGTATTGAATTTAGAATTAATGATTTTCAACGAGGTAGAGGTTTTTGGAGATTTAATAATTATCTATTAAAGGACAAAGAATATATTAAAAAAATCAAACAACTTATTAATGATACAGTAGCAGAATACACAACACCCCCTTATACACCAGGACCTGATGCTGAATTGCATATTCCCAAGGATTTATTTTAGGATGTACTGTTAATGAAAATAAGAAGTCTAACTATCTATTATTCATCTCATAAAGCAAAGGAAAGAAAAAATAAGAAAAAAGACCTCAACACGCAAATAAAAATATTACAAGAAATGTATGACATTTGTCCAACACAGTTATATTCAGATTTATTAAATGAACTCCAGACAGAATTGGAAGAAATAAGGAAATATGAATTAAAAGGACTACTTATAAGAAGTCATTGTAAATGGATAGAAGAAGGAGAAAAACCTACTAAATATTTTGCTGCACTTGAAAAAAGAAACTATATTAATAAAAACATTTTTAAACTTGTAAATGAACAAGGTATAGAGGTAAATAAACAAGATAAAATTCTGGAAGGGATAAAAACTTTTTACAAGACATTATATGGAAACAATGATCATCTTCCTGAGGATGTTAATCTTGAAGAATTAATATATGATAAAGATGTTAAAAAAGTATCAGACAACTTGAAAAATCAACTGGAATTAGAAATAACTAAGCAGGAAATATTTGAAGCATTAAAATCATTCAAAAATGATAAATCACCAGGAACAGATGGATTCACTGCAGAATTTTTTAAATTTTTTTGGTCAGATATTGGGTCCTATGTATTTAACTCTTTTAAATGTAGTCTTGCCTCGGGTAAGCTTTCAAAGTCCCAAACTCAAGGAATTATTTCAATTTTACCTAAAGGACATAAACCACGAGAATACCTCAAAAACTGGAGGCCAATTTCACTTCTAAATACGTCATATAAGCTCTTATCCAGTGTATTAGCTAATCGAATGAAACCCATTTTAATTGAAATTATCCATGAAAATCAAAAAGGATTTTTAGCAGGAAGATATATAGGAGAAAATTCTAGATTACTTTATGACATTATTCAATATTGTAATGAAAATAATACACCAGGAATGATACTGCTACTTGATTTCGAAAAGGCATTTGACTCAGTCTCATGGAAATTTATTTTCAAAGTTTTAACCTTCTTTAATTTTGGTGAAAAATTTCAGAATGCTGTAAGAACCTTATTTAAAGAGGCAAAATTATGTGTTATTCAAAATGGCTTTTTCTCAGAATTCTTTAACATTGGCAGGGGATGCAGACAGGGTGACCCTATTTCTCCATATCTTTTTCTTCTTTGTGCTGAGATAATGGGCATATAATGATAAGAAATCAAAGGAATAGTTGTAAATGATAAAGAATATAAATTATTGCAATATGCAGATGACACTGTATTACTATTAAAAGGTACCAAGGACTCACTAAAGTCAGCATTGTCACTAGTAGATGAGTACGCAAAATACTCAGGGTTAAAGCCAAATTATGAAAAAACTAAATGTGTGAAAATAGGATCCTTATCAAATGAATCAAATGAATTTCTTACAGATATTGAAAATCTTCAATGGTCCCAAGACCCATTTACAGTTTTAGGTATTACATACTGTGTGAATTTGGATAATAAAGATATGTACGAGTTGAATTTTAATCCAAAAATTAATGAAATGCAATCACTAATTAAGTCATGGTCTAGAAGAATGTTATCTACAGCAGGGCGTATTACAGTAATTAAAACTTTGATTCTTCCAAAGATTACATATCTACTGATTAGTCTTCCAAGTCCTCCCAGAGAAAAGATAAAGGAAATTGAAACAATTTTTTATGATTATATATGGAATTATAAAACTCCAAGAGTAGCAAAAAAGGATATTATTCAAAGTTATGAAAAGGGAGGTTTAAGAATGATATATCTTGATTCTTTCTGTAAAAGCCTAAAAATTACATGGATTCATAGACTTTTTAATGATACTTGTCTGTCAAGTTGGAAAGATATGCTTAGAAGTATTCTTCCAAATGTAGCAAATATTTTGCTTTTTGGAAAACAAATACTAAATAACTTGTCAAAAGTATGTAAAAACCTGTTTTGGAGA